CACATGGGAAAGAGGAGCTGGAGAGCAGCATACATCACTGCTTTCTGTTTCTAATTATATGTGATGTCACCAGGTACTCCAAGCTTCTGCTTTCCTGACACTCTCCCATTATTGACGGAAGCCTTGAGCTTTGAGCCAATCTGAGCCCTTTCTCCTTTAATCTGCTTTTTTCTTTTTCAGAGCATTTTCTCAAGGCCCTTAGAAAAGGAACTAAGATACCTGGCACAAGCAAAAATACAGATGCAAAATTTAAAAAATAATCACTTATGTGTTAGATTTGCATGCAGTCTCCACACTAAAAGATGAGTACTGCAGATCATGAGTTTGAATCCACCTTGGACTAGTGAATTCCAAGGAAGCATTAGGCTACAACATAAAACTGAGTCTGAAAACAGTAATAAATTAGCAGAAAAAAAAAGATAAAAATGAAATCTTTCAGACAGGCACTCTGCAATTAATTCCTACAGGAATGATGTCCTCCTCATAATGTAGGTTGACCAATTAAACATTAAGAAAACAAGTCAATGTATGGAGAATCCATTTATTTATATTCATTCTCAAATGTCAGCCTTTCTCTAAGTGATGTGCAAACATGCAAAGCTCACACTGCTCTGTAGAGGTGTGAGTGCTCCCAGATCCACCCTGTTGTGGTCTGAGAGTCAAACTATTCCACCATCTTTAGTTTAGTTCAGTTAATTTTGTCTTGTTTTATTACAGTGTCCATAATATGTCATGTAGTTCATTATTTCCATTAATAACCAAGTATAATACAAGCATTGAGAAGATGTGGGCTTTATGATACGTTGTGTCACAAGTGACAATGAGGAGCCAAGAAGGTGATTGAGAAGGGTTAGTTTCAAGTCCAAAGACTCCAGTCATAGACACATGTGACTAAATACACAACCTTGAACAAGTGGCCGGCATTCTCAGTGTTTCCATTTTCTTCAAATGGAAATGCAGATGCTCACCACAGTAGGAACCTACCATGAGATTTCTAATGTGAGAAATTCTTATCATTTTCTTATGAGAAAAGTTAGAATGTCTGAAATGTTTATAAGGCTAGGTGATTTGTAAATCATAAATACCCATCTTTTTTTAAGTAACAGCAAAAACAGATAAAACATCTTCCCAGAAAATCCATTTAAGATTAAAGTAGAATGATTTATATAAGTCATCTACCAGTGGCTGTATCCTTAAATAAATCTTATACCCTGCCCCCATCCGCACAAGTCATTAAATATTATTAGTTATTACTGAAGAAAACACCAAAGATTCAAAAGAAAGTAAAAACATAGGAAATAAGGATTGGAATATCATAAAGGTTGAGGAAGCATTAAGGAGATGATTATTACGACTGTATAGTGACGATATAAACACACACGCATTATGTAAACACACACACACACACACACACACACACTGGCCTAGAGTATCACTCATGTCAAACATAAAATAGAGGCATAACTGGCCTGCAAGATGACAGCAGATAGTGGTGCGCTTAACACTTAAGACTGTGGTCTCCCAGCTGCGGTGTTGTTCTAGGCTTGGTCTCTGTGATAGAATAGCTGACGTGCCCAGGATGGGTTTAACATCTCCGCTGTGGTCCCTTTCTCCTTCCCTTATCTGTCCTCTCCAAGTACACTGGTCCACTTTGGAGGAAATCACCTCTCAGCACAACTGAGAAGTCTTGCTGACAGACTGGAAGGAAAGCCTACGAACTTCTGGTAACTTCACATTTCATCAGTGTCTGAGACCTCAGCAGTGACCCTGAGCCACCACAGCCCTGCCTGTGTCTGGCACAAATGAGTGCACAGGATATAGTATTGTGAGATTAATTTTATATGTAGTATAGATAACTAAATAAAGGTTGAAGTAACTTCTACATGTTATTTTATAAATTTGATAACATTATCTCCTCCTATATAATGCCATTTTTGTATTTAATATATTCAATATTTATATTATTTATTTGATGTCATAATATAGAATGTATTTTATTATATTCACCTCCCACTTTTTGAAGATCCACTCTCAGTCCATTCCAACTGCACTGTCCCCTCTCCTTTGACTGATTTTAAATTTTAAAATCCAAGGAGTTCAATTTGTACATGCCATGACCTCACGGGTATGAGAGTATCTATCAAATCGTAGGTCATCTACCAGTGTGCTGTATCCTTAAATAAACCTTAAATCCTTAAATCCACACAAGTCATTAAATATTAGTAGTTCCTGCCACTGTCCTCTATGTATATATTCATCCTAAAAATAATAGATATTTACCTCTGCTTCTTCCAGATAAAAGCCTTCTCAAGGCACCTAAAATAACTGTATATTTACTATATAGCAAATAATTCTAATTTCCTTCTTACATGGCCTATGAAGAGCTACATGATGGCTGCTTGTTTTTTATCTCACAATCACCCATCCTTGTGACTTTTACACTCCTTACATCTACATTTACTTCCCTTAGGTCTGTGGAACACACTGGATGCATTTCTACCCTCAGGCTTTTGAATGTGATGCTACACAAATGGTCACATACACCACGTTGTGAGTAACAAGAAGTGAGTAGCTTCAGTATCTCTTTTCAGATCCCTCTATATAAGGAGAACCCAGAACTAATCCTGTAGTCTGGATGCAGAGTTGCCCTGAGGGCCCCCTTGTCAAATGCTTGGTCTCTGGGTTGCTACTGGAAGGCAATGAGCACTCCAGTGAAAGTTCTTTAGGTCATGCCCTTGAAGTGGCTCTCTGCCTTCAGGCTCACGCATTGGCCATTGCCACATCTGCCGTGATCTTTCATCTGTGACAAATAGTCAAAGGAGTGAAACCAGCTGCCTGATCCTAGACTGAAACCTTCATTAGCAAGAGCCAAAATAGGTCGTTTTTCTTTATACATTGGTGGTGTCAGCTATTTTGTTATAGTAATAGGAAACTGGCTGATATGGCTGGGTTATCAATCTCAGAGAAAATTCTGTCTACTTTTCTGCACATTTCATCTCTGTTTATCCTTGTTGGGTGAGCAATAGCCTAAGAAGAGTGCTCCCTTCTCAGAGCCACAGAATGATTACAGAAGTTATCATTGTAAAATGAATATAGAGGCCTCTTTGCTCATGAAGCATTATGAATTATACCTCCAGTGATAGTAGTTTCTATCACCCACTTTATCACTGTCACCCTGAAAAAACCTGGTTGCCTGGGAACCATTATAATCTATTTTAAATAGAGTTTCCAGATGTCTTCACTGTGGATGTCATGGCCCTCTTACATCGGCAGAAGCAACATCTGATTTATAGCTTTATTTTTTATTAGGTACAGGGAGTAACTGTGTTCTCTGATGCAAACCTGGTGATAAAAAGTATGACCTGGACATGAAGAGAAGCACCAGGGAGGTCTTTTAAACCCTCGGTAATAAGATAATGATCTTCTTGGGAAGTTTAGCAATGCAGATGTGACTGAGACAGCTGGGAGCCCAGAGATTTCTGAGGACGGTAAGCTTAGCAATTCTTCTGCAAGTGACCCTTGTGGCTTACTCATCTCTATGAGTTCTCTTCCACTATTATTAAAATGAAGTGATTTTTCTGATGATAATTTATGTCTTTTGACAGTCCTTTGAATTAGAACATTTATGCTTAAATGGCCAACCTCTGAATAATTGCTGTGATCAAAAGAAAGTTTATTTGAACTAAATTTAATAAGTTGATGTCAACAAACATTTACTGATTGAATACTCACTATATGTTGTTGGTTCAAAAGAGACTAAAGAAATGAAATTATTGCCCTCACGAAGCTGGCATTACAGAAAGGGGCTATGGTTCAAAAGGCTACAGATGTTTAAGAGACAAGAAGAGAAGGGTGGAGAGGGAGACGGGGTTTGGGCTTTAAGTAGCACATTTGGGATAGGCCTGGGGATGAGGGAACAAAAAAAAAATGAACACTAATTATTCAGATACATGCAAGGACAGAAGCTAAGACAGAAACAATACAGGACATTCCCATTTCTGAGAACCTGATTAAAGTTCATCCAGGAAGGATCTGCTTTTGGACAACAGAGAAGGGATAAAAAAAGAAACAGAGTAAAGACTCACTCTACAACAATAATTTGCATTTCATCATATGCATATGCCCTTCGGAGAAGTAGCTGGTTGTCTTCTCCCAAGAGTAACCAGAGATTTGTGATAATATTTGATTACAGATCTTAACTCACTCAGTCTCCTTAAAGGAGCTCTGTGACACTGTACTGGAAACCTCTTTAGCTGAGATGTGTGTGAGCAGACAGACACACTGACTGATTTGAACATGTTCCCCTTGTGCCTTTTGCACTCTGTACACCAGCACTGCGGTTATAGGAACCAAGATTTTTAATAACTACATCAATTAATTAAAGTAGGGGGCAGAAAATGAAGTGAATGTATTATAAAATAAACTAAGCAAGAAGAAAACAGCATAATAAAATAAGAAGAAAACTTAAAGCAATCTTAACAGTGAAACAAAGAAACACACAGAATGTGCTCAGCATATCATGAAGTGGTTAGAATTACTTAGTTACATTTCATCACAAACTTGGGAAGCAGGTGCAGCTTTCTACAAGTGGAGAAATGGCCACAAGAAATTGTGTGGGTTTCTGCAGCAACAATTTTGTCACATATTTGTAAGCATCCACAGAAGGAACTTCATAAATTCGCACACATTATATGTCTACATACGCTGAATTCAATTTACACACATTCAACGGACACATATTCAATTTGAAACAGCAAGAAGGAAGAAAAGGGCTTAATCTCAGACAGCAGGAAACACAATAGTTCGTATCTTCATGCTACTGTGTAAATCACACCATGCTCTCTTTCCTGTTAGATAAGAGGGAAACTTTTGGTGCTCAATAACAGCACAAAAGGTCAATGATGATTCCAAGAGGCACCAAACAAACAAACCAGGAAGCCCAGGAGCTTTCTACTTCTGGGCGTGCACCCTACTCGTACAGTGGGCGGAGCCAAGAAATCGAAAGAGAAAGCATGCTGGGCGCAGAGAACCTCAGGCGCCGGGATGGAGCTTCAGCCCGCGAGACTCTTGCTACTGTGTTGCTGCTGTCTCGGCCTCGGGGTCTCCAGGACCTGGCCTTGGAGCCACCAGCGGGAGGCGGCCGCCTTGCGGGTACCAAGCTCCCTCCTACTATTTGTCCGCTGCCCCGGGGCTCTTAGGGAGGGACCCAAGCTCCAAGCACACGTTTCCCCAGTCGAGCCTTGGTTCCCCAGGGCTAGGATTTATGTGCTGTGCCCCAAAGCACCAAAAGAATTCCAAGGCAAAGCTAAAGGGGAAGAAATACCCTTTTGAATCCCAAAGCCTTTCCCACACCAAACCTGACCCTGTCGCATAGAAAGCAGCCTGCAGGGGGCACTGGCTCCCTCCTCCTGTAACTGAAAGTTCAAATGCTAAGAGCAGCTTCTTGATTCTGAGAGGCTTCTGAAATGGGTTAATGATTTCTCTGTCTTCGAACTGCCTACCACTTTCCTCTAAAGTTCTCTCTGACTTGGTGGAGACTGACCTAGATCAGAAAGAAACATTTCATTGCCTTAAATTCGGATTGCCTTTAAAAAGTTTTCTTAATAATCCTTCAATTTCTCTCTAACTTTAAAATTCTGAAATGAACCGCTTAGCTGACCACGAATACGTTTTCCCAGTAACCAGGGAAACTGATCGGAATGCGAATTCACAGTTGGCCTCAGTTGCTATAGTTCATGGTATCTGACAGGTTTTTAAATCCGAAGAGATGCCATCACAATTTATGAAAGAAAAAAAATTCACCTGTTCTGACTCAGTCTGTCTGAATTCAGGAATGCTGCTCATGGGCCGTTTAACTAGTGTTTTCTGTTGTTGTTTTCTGAAATTTCCTTGGGATTCCATAGCTCTTCCCCCTTCTGCTTGTCCTTTTTGGACTGAGGAGTTCCAGTATTCAGGTCAGGCCTTCTTTGGCTTCAGCTATCCTTGCGCTCAAATCAAAATGTGTGCTTTTTATTTCCCTCCTTTTTGTTACTTTTGAGCTCATTTCTTGTTACCAGAAGCACTGTCTATTTCTTATCAAAGTCCTTGGCCTGTGTGTTACTGAGACCTGTCCATGACTTCATCTCTTGATGAATTAACCCACTGGGGTGAATTAACCAATGTCAAAGGTGTTGATAATATGTTTATTGGTGAAATAGGTCTTTATTAATCTTGAATATTGAAGGCCAACAATGTAAGTATATAATTTCTTTCCTCCTTGCTGAAATAAAGCAAGGTTGCCAACAAAAGCTACTTAAAGAAAAAAAATCTACTTTGGCTCACACTCTTAGGGCACAGTCTATCATGATGAGGATGTTGTGGTGACATGAGTGTGTTGCAGCTGGCCACACTACATCATCAGCCAGGAAGGGAAAGCCAGGGGTACTATGTCCCAGTTCACTCTCTCATTTATTCAGTCCACAACCCCAGCCCATGACATAGTCCCTCCTAAGTTTACGATGGGCTTCCCACTTCAATTACACCCATCTAGAAACGTACTCAGAACTATGCTCAAAGGTTTATTTCCATGGAAATTCCAAATCCTAGTACATGTACAGTCACGATTACAGTCACAGTCATTGATACCTTATTATAAAATAGAATTTGTGTGTGCGTTAATTATAATTTCCACATCTACTCATATTTTACTCGTGAGGAGACTGTAATCCCCAGACAAATGTCTAGATTCTCTGTTGAGGAGAAATGCAACCAAGGTTCCATATGGGAAAGTAAAGGTTGGAAGTTGAAGAAAACAACTCAAATCTTAGGATATTTTTTAAAATATAGGGTTAAAAGCACAGAAGCAGCTTTTCAAGCAGTTTTGGTCAGCAGGAATTTGCCTGGTAAGCATTTTAGTCCTTAAATGATAGGTACAAACTGTGAGTTCTCCTGGATAACATCAGCTGAAGACTTGGAAGCAGTGGGCTTTGTTTCTTTGGTGACTAAGGGTATTAAGGATTCTTATGGCCTTACAGTATGGATTAAAATATGTGGTAAGTAAAACTCAGCTTATAAGTCTAAAAAGTGTCTTTTTTTTTTTTTTTTTTACAAAATTGTTTCCACTGAAACAATTGAATTAGTTGATTGGAGATTATACTGTTTTCTTAGAAGGCACATTGTGTACAGAATCTACAAAATTCCTTTGTTTTACAATGAACTGAAACATTTATGCCGGGCGGTGGTGGTGCATGCCTTTAATCCCAGCACTTGGGAGGCAGAGGCAGGTGGATTTCTGAGTTCAAGAGTTCGAGGCTAGCCTGGTCTACAGAGTGAGCTCCAGGACAGCCAGGGCTACACAGAGAAACCCTGTATCGAAAAACCAAAAAAAAAAAAAAAAAAAAAAACAATGTTATAAAGTCCACTGAATATTCCTTAAAGGAAAACTAGCAGCTATCCTTACATTATTATTCAATGAGACAGGACTCCTCCATGGCTTATTATGGGATGTCTTTCATTCTACCTGAAGGAAAAGGAAAGGAAGGGCACTCGCACTCCTGCATGGTGGGCTGGGCTTTTCGCTCTTGGTCTCTTGCGAGCATTGGCTGATGCTCTTCATTTTACCTTTGCTTTTCCTGTGGAAGGCAGATGAGAGACTCAGGTTTTTGATACTGTGACAAGAAACCTTAGATGACCTACTTAAAGAGAGGAGAGCTTTATGTTTGCTTGATGTTTCTGTCCATGCTTGGTTGTAGCTTTGAATCTGTGGCGGCAAAGTGCTCTGTGGAACATGTGGTAGAGGAGATCTCTTTCTCTCTCTGCAGCTGGAAGACAAGAGGGACATGCCAGGGAATAATTACCCTCCACCAATCACCAAAAGCAGTCTGTGTTCTTAACCTGGGAGGAGATGAGATGCTATAGAGGCATCAATGGACTCAATAAAAGTTGGTCTTTATACTCCCTTCATAATACTCTTGACACTCCACCAAGTGTGTGGCTTCACATACAACGAGGATCTTTGCCTTAGCACTGTGATGTCTCATCCTATGTCTTCATTAAATTGTGTATGTGTCCGAGCTCATTTATATATAAGTAGATTATTATAACATGTTTAAATGAGCACTTATGATGAGCCACAAATATCCAGCTTATCTCCCCGAAGTACACCTTATCTGTAGCTGCTTGAGAACTGTCATGTAGAGGTGACTTTGAGAGTTGACAATCCTGTTCCACAGACACTTTCTAGTGATCTTTATCTTAAAGCACACACTGTCTAAATGGAAATATAGTAAAAACTGTAAAAACCTTATATCTATCATGTTTGTTCACTTATTCTTCTGACCATCTACTTGTCCTATAATTTATCAATTATCCTTGTTAGGCACTCATGTAGATGTCCTTAGTGACACAGTGAAGAATAAGGTATGTGGAGGCCTCAAAGACATTAGAGTACACTGACACATGTCACCCCAGTAGTCATTGTAGTTGAGCAGGTGGAAACAAGTTCATCCAATGTACCCTGTCTGAAAACAAACAGCATATTATATGTGTGGGGTACTGTAATTCATTTCTAAAATACAATATGTAGTCCTATACATTAGAAAATAGATTCTCTCAGTTCATAAAAGTACATGTAAGAATGTCCCCATTCTAATAAGGGATAACATAATTTGCAGCTGAGAATTCTGGATCTGAGGTTTATAATTCCCATGTCTTGAGAGAAATTCCCAGCAATGATCATGTTGAGTATAATCAGTGCATGTTTGTTCCTGCTTCAATTTACCAATTTCTCTCCATAGAGAGAACATTTTTTTCATGCATACATGGAACTGATTTATTACCCATCACACTTTAGGATTTGCCAGTTATGGCCGATAAGATAAAAACTTAACAAAAATGAGCTCAGAATACAGAGACCTTACAAGATGGGCAATGGGATGATTTCATGCAGCCCTAGTTACCTGACAGGCTAAGGCAGCTATGTCAGTGGAGACGTGGAGTTCAAGACCAGCCTTGGTACATAATGAAAAACTTATCTTCAATTTTGAAGCACGAATAAATGAAGGGCATGTGCTACAAACACAATCATCATCAGAAAGGAATATCTTTGCTTATATTAGTAGAAAACAATTAACCAGAGTGAATAAAAGAACTCCTAAATAGCAAGGTAGAAAAGACATCTAATTTCCATGGCCTCCTCCTCTAATAAAATCAACATAAAGCCCCACAAAGTAGATATCCCTCTAGCCAGTGCCTTACAGATTGAATGGCTGTACCCATTCGTCAGGTGTTCATTTGCATGACTTTAGGAAAAACATACCCATTTATGTCTCAGTTCGTTAATCTGAGACAAGAAGGTGAGATGAGCAAGTACTGCATGCAGAGGTAGCAGTTCTAAGCACATACTTAAAACGGCACTTCAGTTCAGCTCAGCTTCCCATCCCTCAACTGTGCTAGGTAGCTATGAGCATTCTCCTGGGAGAACAGAGAGCCAAGAAATTGTTCCTCAGAATTTGCTTCTTTCTCCTGATATTATTGGAGCCATGAAAAGAAAAACGTGCATATCTAATTTGTTCTTTATATTAACAACCAGCAAGAAAAAATTCCTTGACTGTTCTCTAAGGGGTAGATTGAGGACCTTCCCAACACCTCATGGGTTTCTAGTTGAAGATATCTGTGACTATCAACTGTCATAAACAAAACAATCGTGTGCTACTTTGTTTTTCCTGGTTAGAAAGATTTGGATAGTCAAGAGACTAGAGGTGGAATGAGAGGCTTTCTGATTTCTCTGAAAAATGTCTGTTTCTGAGCAATGTCAAAACTCCAGTCCCTTTTCCACATGAGAGCAGCCCAGGCCCCTTATCTGCAGAGCTATCTTTTATCTCTACCAGATGCAAATAGCCCTTTCTGCTTCTGACTTCCAGTAAACATTATTTTTGTTTTTTCTGACTGTGGGATTGGAAACATTTCCAAGCATTAATGAAACAACTTTGCTAGGCCAGTAAAGCAGCAAATTAGAATAAGGAAGAGATTTCATAAGATTATTGCCCAGTTAATTTTTGTTTTGCTGCGTGAGCTATGTAAGCACATATGCATGCTGCATACATATGCATATCTGCACACATACACATATGCATACTGTCACATATATAAAGGTGCATGCATGCCTATGCATATATACATGTTTATACATTCATGCATGACTACATACAAGTATACAGAAGCCAGGTTAAATAACTGGCAAATGTAGAAGAAGCTTGGCTGTCAGATGTCATCCTAAAGGTAACAAGCTAGGGTTTTCTAGAGTCAGGATCTTAAGATGTAGTGTTGGTTAGAGAGGTTTGAAGATGTGTGGTACCTATCAAAATCAAACAGGCAAGTTTCCCTCCCCCCCCTTTTTTTAAATAAAAATTGGAAATTTTCCTCTAGTTCTTTCTTCTTAAATTCCCTTTCACTAAGGCATCAGATATCTCATTGTACATCAGTCAGTTAAACAAAACAGAAAGTAGGTTACTGTACTTACCTTCTCATTGTGTCTGTTGAAAGGTTCTTCTTGCTTGTCAGCTCTAATATTTCTTATGTAAGGACTGTCTGACTTCTTCTTCATGTATTTCCTTCTGGAATGCTGTTGTAATTCAAATCTAAGACCTGAAGTACAGTTCCGTGGTAGAATATGTGCTTCACATGTAACACCCCAGAGTCTACCCCAATGGCAAGATCTAAAGGCTTAGGTCTCTCATTTGAACATTGCATGTAGCTTTAGAGATGGTTACCATGTACCTGCACACCATCATAGCCTCTGCTGCTTCATGTTGGAACTCACTAATTCACCATTCACCTGCATTCTGTCCTAAGACACAGGCTTTTGATGCAGTGAAAGGAGACCTATAGACTCACAGTGGCCAAGGCTGCAAGACATTTGCTTCAACAGTCAGAATTGAAAGCCACAAGTATAGTGACTGGAAAGAACAGAAAAACCCAGAAAGGAACTATAATGTCAAGCAATGTGAGCATGCTCACGTTAGGTGAAAACTAGCATTGACTTCTTATAGAGGAATAAATGCTCTGAGACAGCATGTTCTGATGGTATTGCTGTATTGTATTGAGTACAATAGCAGATTGTTCGCAATAGCTAGCTAGGCTTCATTTGTAGTACCACAAGAAGTACTTGCTGCGTTCTAACGTAAGCAAGGTGAAAGCATAGGCTTTGAATGAGGTTTTCTATTACCAAAATGTTCTGCTTTTAAGAATGAAGATGAACCTTGAGGACATTTCACTGGACACTTATCCTACTGTGATTGCAATATATATGGGTCACAGAGAGATTGAATATGTAACTTTACATGGCATTTTGATGGTAAGACATTTATTCCCGTTTATTTCAAATATCAAGCTTATACACATTTATGTACACAAGGAGGTAAGAGAATTATGATTCCTCAGAATCTGATAGGGGAGGGAGTTTCCAGTGTTTCTAGAGTTAAAAGGAGGGAGGTAAAGTTAGGGTAGCGAGGGAATGACACAGAACATTTTGGTTTTTTTGCAAGATATCAGCAGTGATAAGCAGACTGTTCCTGCCAGAGTTCTAGAGGGCTGTGAAAGGCAGGGTGATAACACTGACACATGGAAGCCTGCAACTAGTATCTGGTTAGCAAGTGAAAGAGACCATCACTCACAGGAGCCCTACATAGACGGTGGCCACTGCTGCTGCCTCTGTGAGATCCATATCTTAGAAGAGGTCTGGCAGTTGTCTTCTAATCATTTGCAGTTAGTTCTACGAGTATTTAAAATAGATCAATCTTATATTGATTTTTTTATACTGTTACTCTAACTACTTGGAAACCAGATAGTCTGAACTTTACAGATCCCAAGCCTGCTGTAGATCGAAGGCAACACACACTGTCCTATGGAAGAATTCCATGTCATTTGACTCTGTGATTTGTTATGTTGGTGTTTTCCTGTGTTAGTCCATGTTCTGTTTTTGTGTCTGCTCCACTTGATCACGTCTTGTCTGTCTGAAACACTGTTGGGTTTGATTTGTTGATATTTCAGTTATGATTTTATATTTATATTCAAGAGAGTTATTCATGTGTAGTCCTGTTCTCTTGGGATGTTCTTTTCTGGCTTTGACTCGAGGTCACATTGGTCTTGTTTAAGTTGCAAAGTATTCTTTCTCTTTGTTTTCTATCATATTCATATTATTTCTTTCTTATTTGGATGGAATTCATCATTGAAGCCATCTGGAAGTAGTATTTTCTTTCTGGGTCAATTTTCTATTACAGTTTTAATGCTGTGAGTTGATAATGGTTCATGTTTTCTATTTCTTCCATGTCGATAATCTGTTTCTTAAGCAGCTTTTCCATTTCATACAAGTTATAAAATTTATTGACATAAAGTTGCCAAAATAATTAGTTTCCTAATGCCAGAAGCACTGTAATCATAGCCTTTTCCTGCCCAGTATGGTATTTTATGTGTTGTTTTCACATTTTACTCTCATCCTAGGTACATACCTATGAGAGAACAGGGAGAGCCACAATCATCTGTTTGATACTGTTACTCTAACTTCTTGGAAACCAGATAGTCTGAACTTTACAGATCCCAAGCCTGCTGTAGATCGAAGGCAACACACACTGTCCTATGGAAGAATTCCATGTCATTTGACTCTGTATTCAGTTACATTGATTTGTTACGTTGGTGTTTTCCTGTGCTAGTCCATAACTAACACTGACCTTTAATGACAAAGAGAAACGGAGAGTTGTGACATGAGTCTGGTTTTTGTTGTTTGTCTATTTCCTGAGCAGGTCACCAAGTGGCTGTTATTTAACAGTAATCTATCAGAAGACTCTCTGTATCTGCCCTACATAGCCAACCTTAGTACTCAGGTATCGGCTGTTTGTCACCATGGCAACTGCAGCTTCCTGCTGTGGATTCCTGACAGTTCAGCCAGCAGCAGCTCAACTCCCACAGATGGAGGTTTGCCACACATGGCTGCATGTGGCCATGGCTGCCACATGTTCTAAACATCCTGCATTCTGCATTCCTTCCCTATCTTCTGCTTAGGAAAGTAATCAACCATCTTATGAATGATTCCTGTAAATTCCTTATCGCTCTTTTCAAAATTACCTTCTAAATTTAGTTTTATGTTTGGATGTATATCTGTGGGTTACATTCAAAGCATTGCTTCGCCATGAGCAAGTTCCTGAAACTCAAAAGGACTTCTAAAAGTCACTGGTTAGCAGTCCTTCTAATCATGTTCAGTTAGAGAGAATTATGCAAGACCATGCTGATTTCGATGAAAGGCAATTGACAAAGGATATTAAGAGGAGGCCATATGGACATTTCACGTATGTCGTTATTAAAAAGCAGATGACTATTAAGGAGTTATTGTGTTTCAGCCATGTCTTCAGTGCAGGTCACATAGTGATAATTCAGACTGATAAACTTGTCCTGGTTTTGCTTACTGGTTTCTAAGTCATAAATAAAAACACTTAAGTGAAAAAGTCAGTATGTACACCAGTTATCATGGAGAAGAGTAGTCCCTGAATTTCAGTGTAGCACACAAGATGAACCAGTGTTGGGAAATTTAAGAATCTTTATAGAAAAAGCAAACCTAAGATAAATTATGATAAAATACAGTGTTATGGTTACATTTTTTTTCTTCCAGCTAGGTAGGAAAACTAGGCCTTCATCTGGGGAGATTCTCTAGGACTGAATCTTTTATAAAACCATTTTGCCCCAAATGAAAATCCTGGATTCAGCTTAAGAGAATTGAACTTCTTCATTCCTTATTAACTTAGTCCTTTTTCAGGCTTTGTTATTCTTCACAAAGGAAAAATGCATGGAGGGCACATTTTTCTATGCATAATTACTTAATTACAGTGTGTCACCAGTGTCTAGTGCTTGTCCACACTTTAAAAGATATGTGTGTGATATTTTCAGCCTCTGTGGGGAATTACAGAAGAATTACAGATGCATAGGGCACATTTTGCCCAACCTGAAAATCAAGTTTGACATCTGTCTCACAAAAATACCTCTAAGTTAGTTATAAATTTATGACTTCAGTGAACTGAAATAGTAGATAGATAAAGTTTGTCTTCATTATTTTAGGAAAGCCTCAACAGACACCGATACTTGAACTCTTTCTCTCATGAAAACTCTACTGCCTTCTATGGAGTAAATCAGTTTTCTTATTTGTCCCCTGAAGAGTTTAAAGGTAAGGCAGTACTATTGATTAACTTCCCAATTTTAACTCTTTGTCTAGTTAAGGAGTAACCACTTGTAAATCGTGTGATGCTTGATATTGTTAAAATGCCAGCCATAAAGTATGTACCATGTGCTAAATATAAGGAAAATAAATTAAGGACTACTTTCCACTAATCATTATTTAATAACTAAATATATTTATATACACATCCAAGTAGCTGTAATTATTAACCATCCTATCATACTGGTAGTTGTCTAGCACCATTTCTGCTTAGAATATTCATGGTTTTGTGAGTAGTAATAAAAGAAACAATGTCAATTATACACATTTTTCATGAGTGGCCTAATTCTATCAAGCAAGTCATGTTACATCAGCTCCAGTCCCATTGCTGAAATTTTCATTCCTAGCTTTCAGTAAAATGCATTTCCTGTTACAGAAAAGCCCTGAGGAAAAATCTCAAGTGACAGGTTGACTAGATAGTGACTGTTTTTGCTTGACAAAATATTCCAAAAACAAGTCTCCAGAGAAGTCCTTCATCTAATACTTTCTCCATGATGCCTTCTTCTTGTCCAGCTTTGTATTTAGGCAGCAAACCTGCCTGGGCTCCCAGATACCCAGCAGAAGGACAGAGACCTATCCCCAATGTTTCTTTGCCATTGAGATTTGACTGGAGGGACAAGCATGTTGTAAATAACGTAAGGAACCAGAAGATGGTAAGCACGGCATCATTTTGTTCTTTGTTGTTTAAAGCTTTAGAATGTACCTAATGGTCAAATTCAGTCAAACTAGCCAAGAAACTCATGATATTTTTTTCTACAGAAAATCATGCTTCAGTTGTGCAAAATGGAAGAGACGGCTCCTTGATGGAGGAGAGATAGTTATCTAGTTCTGACTTTTAAACTTGTCTGGGCGTGCCCACTTATCCATGACCCTTGGTGCATGTACACCTCAAGGATATATCCCAGTAGCCATACTACTATGCACACCAGGAATTCTGGGGACTGAGAGCTGGAAGATAAACGCAATTACTGGCTGTGTAAATGATTCAAAGGGAAAGTGCACCAGAGAGTGAAATGAGTTTAGTCACACAGTATCTGGATTTTTAATCTTCACTTCATCCTGTGAGCTCTATCAGAAAACAAGTTCTGCATGCTCACTCCCTATAACATCATATGTCACTCAACCTCTGTCCCTTAGCAGTGCCTTCAATGTGGTTTCAAGGCTACATAAGCTTGTTACAGATCAGCTATGTGCAAGATTTGATGGTTAAAGGAGAATGGATATGGGACAACCAGATTAGGTCATAGTGCTTAAAAGCTTTTTGAAAACACTTTTAAAACACATTTAAAAACTTAATAAACAAAGCAATACTTTTGGGTTTGCTTGTTAAAGTATCAATAAATATATTATAGATATAAAAAAGTTAATGGAATGTAGCATGAAAAGGACCCACAGTAAACTTTCATACATGGGTGATGAGAGGGAAATTTTGTGAAGTGGTCTCAAGTAAGAAAGAAAATGCAGCACCTTTTTGGATGGGTGTGACTTGGAATACACAGGGGACTGCCTAGTTTGAGGAAGTTTAAAGAGTATCTGCTTTTTCTTTTTAAACCACATCTCCTACTGCAATGTATTCCACCATCAACACAGGTAATATAACCAAACAGAGAAGATCAAGTGCCACAGGATGACATCCACAGGTGACATCAGCAGCTAGGACCTTCCCCTTCTCCATGGATGGGAAGTGTTTTCCACCCACCAGTGTGCTAGTTTCTATCTAGTTAAAATGCTCTTGCCTCCCTCTCAGATTAAATGTTTGCAGTTGATCATTAGAATTTACCACCAAGCCATTAGGTTTGTCATTGTGTGTGTGAGTGCATGTGAGTGTGTGTGTGTGTGTGTGTGTGTGTGTGTGTGTGTGTAAGTAGTGAGTTATGCATGAATCCAGTCCTTCCCAGAGGAATTTACATACTCAGTAGTGGGTTTCTGTAGGATCTGCCTCAGTGGCTTAACTGATGCTAGCTGTGGGTGTAGTGTTCTCAGTCACACTCACATTTCTCAGATTTGGAGATCACCCCATCTTCAGTTGGTGACTATTTTCCTTTGCTGTGAGGACTGAGGTTAGAGACCTAAATAAGACCTTTGAAAACACCAGTGTTGTTCAGAGCATCACCCACAAGTACATTCAAGACTTTTCTGTGCTAGTTCTGCAGGATATGGTGTGGTCTTACGATTATGCCAAATTTTTAATTCCTTACCCTCCCCCTCCTTCCTTCCCTCCCTCCCTCCCTTTTTCCTCCCACCCTCCTTCCCTCCCTTCCTCTTTCCCTCCCTCCCTCTTTCCCTCCCTCCCTCCCTCCTTTCCTCTCACTCTTGCTATTTCTATGGATTATGTAGACTTTTATGTGGTTCCTATTCCACTTCCGGGGGCAGTTCCTTTCCTTATAACCCATTTACTTTTTTTCCAAGAAGCAGTGATTCATAAGCAGAAGTTACTGACTAAACATAAAACAATCATCCCTCCAAGTGTTTTCTTGACTTCCCCTAATTCATTGGCCTAGCTTACTTACTTTGTAGTAGTGACAGTACTGATTTAGTTTTAAAAAATAATAAGATCCCAATGCTCAAGAGAGGATTTTAATTTCATTTTGAATTAATGGTTATTTTATAAGTTTCTGCTATCTGGAAACTTTCTGTTTATTATTATTATTATTTTCCTTATATGACTGTATCTACAGACACTGACAAATTTAACTTAGATACTGTGTGCTAGCATTTACTAATCCTGTCTTCTGAGCAGTGTGGAGGATGCTGGGCCTTCAGCGTGGTGAGTGCAATAGAGTCAGCTTGTGCGATCCAAGGAAAACCTCTGGATTACCTGAGTGTGCAGCAGGTCATCGACTGCTCCTTTAATAATTATGGCTGCCGTGGCGGCTCTCCTCTGGGTGCCTTGAGCTGGCTAAATGAGGTAATCATATCTGCTTTCTATTCCCTGATTTCCTCTTATGTGCTGTGTTCACAGAATCCAATCCTTCCTATATTAAGCAAGGTTCAAAGTTCAGAATTCTAAGTACACAAAGCTTGAATGACTTAATCGGTAAGAAGATATACTGTAAAGAATCAAACCAAGGCGAGGCATGTGTTTGACCAGGGCTCAGTCATGTTACATCACAGACCCTGAAGATACTAGAAGTAATGGCTTCCAGGCAAATTCACTATAGCTATAAATCTATCAAGGGATCAAGATATCTTAAACACATTTTCAGAAAGGTATTGTAACTTTTCTTAGCAGGTAATTTTCACATGGAAACCTGTCATATAATTTCTCAGGGAGATGAGGATACGGAGTTACTGGTTTCCATGGTTGTCCTGAATGATGTTAGGTGGGGACACCACAGGTCATCTGGTTTCGTAACTATAGATGAAGAAATGTGCACTGGACTTTGGAATCGTTTCACCAAGCCGGACAAAATTGTTTCCCGAGCCCCTGACACCTCACATGAGCTCTTTGTCACAGCCTAGTTTTGTCATTTTTCTCTCTGACACTCTTCCACATCCAGCACTAGTGGCATGAAGTGAGAAAATAAGAGGCCATTGTAAAAGTCATCAAGTTAGTGTTGTCCAAACTCAAATGCCCTCCCATTCCCTATTCACTGGATAGGCCGATGACTGCTCTAGATACATTTTAGATTACAGTGATTGTGCCTCCACCTTTGAAAAAGCTCAGTACGTGGGCCTGAATAGACAACCATAAGAAATACAGCTCACCAAGAGATAGTTTGATAATATCAAGAAAGAATATTTGGCCACTGTCTGATCACAGAGCATTGCTGCCTCAGTCTTTGGAGCCGTGTGTTTCCTTAGCATGCTCAGGAAAAAGATGACCAAGACTTTGTTACCATATATATGGTGGTTCTAGAGAGGGATGGCATAAAAAAAATTAAAAGTTAAGGATTTCTATTTTCTTGGATGTTTGATACAAGCACCTGGTGATATCAGTTAGAATTTTAAGATCAAACTGCCCACAAGCCGCTTTGGTGAGGCCTGACCTCTTAGGCTACGTTGAAGTAAGCTCTACTTAACCTTTCAAACAACTGGCAGTGAACACTTTGTGACTGTTTCCTCTAGACACAGTTGAAGTTGGTGGCAGATTCACAATACCCATTCAAGGCAGAAAATGGCCTGTGTCGCTACTTTCCTCCGTCACAATCAGGAGTTTCAATTAAGGATTTTTCTGCATATGACTTCAGGTAACTGACTTGTGTGTGTGTGTGTGTGTGTGTGTGTGTGTGTGTGTGTGTGTGTGTATTTGTGTTTATATTTCTGCATGATCTGTTTTCAGAGTTACTGACTTTGTTGAAAGCTCTCTTGCATACTCTCAGTTCAGAACCAACTTCCTACTAAAGAATTCAACTTATAGTCACAGTAGGGTGTCAAAGAAGACCACTAAAGTTATTCTGTATGTTCTTCTATGTATAGTCACACTACAAATAAGAAATTTAAAAAGAATAGCTTTTAACTGAGTTTAAAGCTATAACTTATATCTACCACCACTCACAAAATTCGAATGCTAAAACAATGAGCCCTTTTCTCAGTCTTAATATTTGAGCCTGTTCAAATTCACATTGTATAGGATACAATGGATTTGGTTAGGATATGGAATACAAGTGATTTGGATTTGAATAATCACTCCCAGTTTACATACCTGGAAACCCTTTTGAACACTATATTCCTTGCAGTTCTCGAGTAAGCAGCTATTAGGAAAACCCATGAAAGCCAAACATATTAAAACTTGGAGCTAAGACTGTAGCCCTGAAGACAAGATAAGTTGCATGCTTGTAGCATGAATGTGACGCTGGTGCAGGACAAGTAAAGGTGTCAAAAGGGAAGGAAGAGTGCTGGAAATTGAAAAGTAGGGCATCTCTGAGTGAGTTCAAGTGTAAACAATCATTAAAATACCTTTAAAGTCACATGAAAAAAAGCAAAGCTGGCCAGAGAATCCTTTAGGCTATTTAGTACCAGGAAAGAGTAGAATGCACGTTAAGACTAGGAAGTTGGACAACAGAAGTGAGTAACTCCTGATACCACTGTTAAATGCTTTTTGGGTTATTGTGCTGTTATTGAAACATCACCAGGAATAAAAGAATTTAATCCAGACAAGGGCGTAGTATGTTCTATGGCTTACTGTTACTTGGTCCCAGTGTCATCTACATTGGACCTAACTGCAATTAGGGGTAAAATTAGACATTTGAACAAAATATAGCCCTTTAAATTGAAGTATAAGTGCCCAGAACACCAAAGATTGTCAAATCTTTAGTGCAGCTTCTGCTGCAAAGGACATAAACATGACCCTAAGAACACATAATAGAACTTTTCCTCCATGGCTTGCTGCACAGGGTTCTGGCTATAAGCACTTTGACCACTGTCTCCTTAGAGAGTTCGGGTGATCCACTTCCTGAAATAAGTAAACATGTCTTTATTAGTTGCCGTTTCCTAGAGGGTAAATAAAAGCTTTTCACAGGAGAACCCAGACTTCCACATGTAATTAAATGGAATCAAAGAAATAATTATTTCCTGGGTGCATGACAGTAAGCTGAGCATAGGAAAGAGACAGAAGAATAATATCACATGAATGAGTCAGGGTGGGGGGGGGATGATGAACAAGGATAGAGTAAGAGAACGCTCTAGTACTATGTAATACCTAAGCCATTTTCTGTATTTTTTTAAAAAAACATTTCACAGTAACCTCAACCTGCAAGAATCAGACTTCAGAAAGACCATGAATTTATGTATTCAGTGCTTTATTCTGATACTACTGACCAGTGATTACTGTTGGGAATTGGACAATAAGCAATATAGACAAAGTCCCGTCCTTGAGGATTGTCCTGTGTGTCCTGAGGATTGATGGAGACAGACAAATAACACAAATAGAAACATGGTATTCTTGGTGTATGAGCTTCTAAAAAGAACAAAATGAAAGAGTGGGAAGAGGAATCTTCTCAGGGAAGGGAGAGTGTGTAGTCCAAGAAAAGGCTGTCTAAAGGAGCCTTCCTGGGAAGTGAACTTGAGTTAACGAGCTCATGAAGGTTATGCAATGAGTATTACTCCAGCCAGAGGAGAGGAGAGCAGAAGTCCTGAAACAGAGGCCTGCCTAACAAGGAGGAGACTGATGTGTCTCCAGTGGAGAAAAGATCAAGGCCAGCACATGAGGACTGCCAAGGGACCAAAAGAGTATGGAGATGAGAATTGGGGTGCATTCTTCTCATGAGGGCCTGGTACTGTACACTTCTTGATCAGAAAGTCTAGGCTCTTTAGACTGAAAAATTGAAAAACTTGAACTAGATGAATGGGTCAAGAATGTCTTAGGCAAGAAGAGCATGGGAAGGAAATAACAGCTCAGTTGAGAGGTGTGGGCAGTGGCGACAAGACACCCTGGCAGGGAGAAGAAGGACATAGCAGGGCAAAGTGTTCTTCAGCCAGAACCTTATTTATGACTTGAGGCCAATGGCTGAGGAACTTTGTGCTTGGAGGTGAGAGGCACACTTCTGATCCTCATCAAAACTGATATCAATCACCTTCTAAGACCCTTTACATGAAGGTGCCTCTGAGGTAGAGGTGGCTATGCTGTCATCATTCCTGGGTTTATTAGAGGGCCAGGTTATTCTGGGAAGCAGTGGTGTATACTACTGTGCTGGGGGCTAGGGCTGGAGGGTCTTCCTTGATGTCTGCCTCATCCATTATGGTCCGGATCTCTGGTGTGTCTGTATCACTCCTTGCATCAGATGTGAGCCTATGACTCAGGGTCACTGGGTTATGGATCATAAGGCTGGGTGAAGATCATGCCTATTCACCTCTGAACTTGTTCATAGCCCTCTATAGTTCTAAGATCATGATCTCTAGTTTTCATGGTCTAATTTTCAAACCATCTCATTTGAACACTGTGCAGAAACAAAAGATCAACAAAGAGGGAAGAATACAAATACAAATGTCACCTAGGCATAAGGCAAAACACCATCAAGCTGGCTGTTTTCCGTGGACTTTTGTTCCTCAGATCCAGAGCTTGTACAGCTCAAACTGGCTTGTGTGAACTGCCATGCAAATAACCAAAGGAAAGGAAGTGGCTGTGCCTTGCAGAGGATCCAGACACAGGAAAGGGCATATTATCACACAAAGCTCTCAGAAAGAGAAGATAATATCCAGATGTCAGTAACAGAGAACATTGGCCTTAAACAATAAACCTAGTGACAAGAAAATTTAAGGGTGTTCTTTGAGGACTATATTTTATAAGTTGTTGATTTTTGGAATAAAATGTAACCACATGGAAATCTATACCAGCTCTCAGAGATATAGTTCAGATGAGACTGATGGAGGTGACATGGATAGCACAGGTCACAGAGTTTAACTTGGAGAAAGCCATGCTCTCCACAGAAGAAATGATGGCAATGTCACTTGATCTGAGATCAAATGGAGCAGCTATCTGAGGGTCATGAGCATGGGCTAGCTTACATCTAATCTGCTACTGTCTTCTCCATGTTCCCTCATCCTGCTCTAGGTAGAGATTATTACTGAATTATTTCAATTACTTCCTACTTGACACTGAAGAAAGGTTACGTTCTGAGCCTTCTCTGCCTGAATCCTTAGCATCTCTCCTGGTGTCCTTGAGACTAGACTTTTGATGAAAGGGACTTATGTGTCTTTGGTTCTCTTGGGTAGATGGGGACTATTGTATTCGGTAAATATAGAGGATACATATGAATTACAAAACATTCAAAGAATTTTAATACAAAAAGGTTGCATTGTATACTATAACCTAGGCTGAGCTGAATTAGTTCTTGGGTAACTGAGAAGGCAGAGAAAGATTATAAGGTTTGAGTAAACCTTATAAGATTTCTTATAGGTTTATTGTATAGGATGATAACTCATGCTAGACATGCCACACAACATACAGTTATTAAATTCTATAATTTTTTACTTGTGTGGTGTATGGGTGGAAGATGGTATTACTACAGTATACACATGGGATTTGATCCCAGCATTTGATAAATCTGAAGCCAGTCTTTGGGCATGGAACCTTTTACAAATTTATATTCCTCTCCTGCCCATATTTTTGTAATGCTTCTGTGCATCAGTTATTAGAGCAAAAATTCCAAGTGTAAGGCTGACTCTCAGGCTGTAGTTTGGAAAAACCCTTGTGTACAATGAGGTCATCGTTTCTATTGTAGTCAATTGTACTGACAGGCTTTCAGAGGGCCTTCATCTGTAGACTATGTCCCCTTGCTGGAAACTGGCTGCAGCAGGCACAGTAAGGAAGCATTTACTCTGAAAGCCACTAATCCTCCGTAGCTTGTGGTAGCAATAAACCACCACATGCTATCTTTACTACCTTAACTACCAGTACCATGGTTTCAGTATCCTTCACCCACAGGCTGGCCTTTGAAAGATGTAAATAATGGTTTGATCACATACATTTAGGATGGACGAAGGCCAAATGTTGTGTAACCTTAGATTTTGCTATACACCAGTAACTGTAAAAGTAACAACTGTTTGCTTTGCCATCTTGGTAACCTAGCACCTAGTTCTCCCGGTGGGCGTCTTGAAATTTCCTTACTTTTTGACACCTCTTTCAGTGTTTCTCTGAGTAAGCCTTCTTTGTAATTCCAGCATTTAACATTCACTGACAAAAGTGGATCCTGCTGTTTTTCAGATATTCATCTCTAGAGGGGTAAAAGTATTTACAAATATCAAAACTTTACACTTTTTTTCTTTTATTAAAAGGAACCCTGCAGCTTAAAGGGATGCTTTGTTTGCCAAATACAAAACTTTCTTTCATGTCTTCTTATAAGGCAGATCTAGTCCCATAACTGAGTTCTGGCCAGTGAGATCCATACACCCAAAAGTGTGATTTCCTGGAAATCCTTTCAACAGGGATGCAGCGTTTCTTTTTCGTGTTTCATGCTGATTGGAATATGTGTTAAATGTCTGGAGGGCCAAAAACCCTGGGCCCTGAGAAGACTATAAAAGTGGGAATGTTTCAGAACAAAAGATATGGAAAGAGGTTGAGCTCCTTACATCCTTGAATCCCATATAGTACTAGACTGTCAAATTCTGTTACATTTTAATATCTGTACAAACATCTTTTGTGATTGCTTCCAACCATACACTGATTTAACACAGATTTTAAAATATCATTTTTACTTTTACCTTAAAAGCTAAATTCTTTACCTATGATATATCTTCCTCCGATAGTGACCAAGAAGATGAAATGGCCAGAGCACTTCTGTCCTTCGGCCCTTTGGTTGTAATAGTTGATGCAGTGAGCTGGCAGGATTATCTGGGAGGCATAATCCAGCATCACTGTTCCAGTAAGGAGGCAAACCATGCGGTTATCATCACAGGCTTTGATAGAACAGGTAAGTACTAGCTCATCTAATCCCTCTCCAGATGGAACTCATAACTAAGGCTATGAGGAGGCTGCTGAGACGTTCTGCTGTGCCTCAGAAGTTGCTTGTCCATGGTCTTCATGGAATTGTCTTGACAAATCAATCAGGTTTTGATTAACCCCTTCTCAGACCCTCCCTCTCCCTCTCCTCTCTCTACCCCTTCTCCATCTTCCTCTTCTCCTCCTTCTCTCCTTCCCTCCCTTCCTCTCACCCTCTCTCTTTCTCTTTGTGTGTGTGTGTGTGTGTGTGTGTGTGTGTGCAAGGCATTTAGTCTTGTGACTTCCATATACAAGACTAGCACTGAGCCACAGGCTAGTCACTGAATAATTTTACATTCACATGAAGTAAATGTTTCATTTGTGATATTTAGGGTAAGTGTTGGCTTCAGGAGTGAAGTACCTGATAGTTTATCAAACGTGTTTAGCACTCCAACTTCTAATTCCATGGGAATGCATTTGCCTTGGCCTATTTCCCTCTGTAATAAACAAAATGAACTCAGACAGAGTGCGTTATATAGGATGACAAAATAAACAGTTCAAATTTACTGAGCTGCCTACCGAAAATAATTTACAGAAAGTCAATGCACATTATCACTTTGTATTTATGGTATGTTTCTCACAGCAAATACATTGATGGCATACTCAATTTAAATATGGAAATGTATTTGTTCCTAATCAATATAGGTTTATCAGTGTATCTTAGCATCTTACCTTTGTAGGAACTACTCCATATTGGATGGTGAGAAACTCCTGGGGAAACTCATGGGGAGTAGAAGGTTATGCCCACGTGAAAATGGGAGGTAATATTTGTGGTAAGTCATAAATTTGATTTGAAAACTCCAGGCTAAATATGATGGGCTTTATGAATATATTATCATGACAGGCATAAATGCTTCCAGTGGGCTCAGTGCCCTTTTTTGGTGTTAATCTTACTGCTTATCCTGTTAATGAGAATTGAAGTTTTACATAATACACTATTAAGCACACATACAAAATGAAGAAATATTATATATGTGTGTTAAAACATAAAATAAAACAATAATTTAACAAAGCAACTACTTTTCAAAGACAGACTATACACTCCATTAAAAGCAAAAGATGTCTCTGCTTTTTATGATGTACGAATTTCCCTAAATTCTCAAAGTGGTTAAGAGTAGCTGAGGTGTGCTCGAGGCCCTGGATTGGTCTCTGATACTACAAAGGCAAGGAAAACATGAAAAGAAAAGAGTTAAGCACCAGGTTTTCTTTGTGGTAAAGTATGAAAATCTGTACAACACACTTCTTTTTACTTAATTTGCAACTTGTCACCTGGAAAAGGCTTAGAAAATGCCCATAGAAATTGCAAGACTTACCAAATAGGCATATGCCTTTATATTATACAACAACATAACAAAACAGCAACTGGAAAGAGGTGGTTCAGTGTTCAACCACTGATGCTGAAACCTGTGTTCAGAACTGTAGTGTAAGATTTGGGTCTGGAACATCATCATATTTTTCTAAATCTACTTAGGGTTAAACTGAATTGCACATAAAACACCCATTTCTCATTGTAATGAGTTCTAACCATGTGCCACACAAATTTTCACAACTTGCAAACTCTTTAAGTCTCTGAGACACAGGTGAAAGAGTTACAGCAAAATTCGAGAGTAGGTGTTGTGCTACAATCTAGTGATTACTGCTCACTTACTCCATAAGCATAGAGTCTACTAATTTTGTAACAATTAATAACCAACCTGTCCTATAAGACATCAAAATGGCTTCCCTATTGGAAATAGCCAACTTTGCAGAGCAAAGGCAACCACCCAGACCCCTGCTGCTTGGTCAGCATCATGGATGCTTTTGTGCGGTTGGGACTCACAGCTGAGAGTCTGCTGTCCATGACCCTCTGTTGCTGACTCACACAGCTTCTTAAGCTGCCAGGGAGGTGTGTCTCATTTGCTCTAAAAGTTGACTGTGTTCAAAGCTCTGACCAGAATGTGGGATCTGGTGAGTCCAGTGCACACAATGGAGATGGGGTTTATAATTGCCTCCATGGCTCTGCCTTTTCTTGCCTCCCAGATGTCTTCTTCTCTCTATCTGCTTTCACGGTCTGCGTCTCCTGGTTCCTGACTGCCCTGGGATCCAAATGCCCCCTGAGCATGTTTCCTGAACATTGTATACCCAGTGCTGTCCACATTATTACAATGAACAGTAACAAATGGCAAAGACTGTTTCATAATCCAAAGAATCAGAAATATTGGTCATTAAAATGAAATTCAATTTCCAAATGGGCTCTTAACACTTTTACTGTGATGGCTAGTTCTATATTCTGATGAATTAAGAAAGCCTAAACAGTTATGTTTTATTAAAGTGTAGTAAACTTCAAATCTAAGAGTTTGCATTTTTAAACATTTTAAAATAAATTCAGTAAGCTATTTTACGTGTAAATGTCCCTTAGAAAATACATATCATGGGAGCATAGATCTTATATACAGTCATGTATTCAGCTGGCAAATAGGATTGTGGCTTAATTTTTGGAACAAAAATCTTAAGTATCTCTTCTTCTGGTATTTGCCTTTAATGTTGCCTTGCTTTTACTGACAACTAGGCATAACTGCTAATTTGTTAGTGGACACTAACATATTCTAAACATAAGTGATAATTCAAATTGTAAACCAAATTGTTAACAGGAAATTGATTGCTATTAATATTTTTTGTCCTTTTTATTTTTGGTTTAGGCATTGCAGACTCTGTTGCTGCTGTCTTCGTATGATCATGAAATGTTTTGGATTCTCCATGAGACAACTACTAAAATGATGTGGTTCATAGTATGATCTAATACAATGCTCAACTCTAAGCATTATACACTGTCGGGTTCCAACAACTTGTCTACAGAGAGGTTCAAGAACAAACTGGCATTTTGTAAAGCAACACAGGACACTCTATCTTGCAGAGAGATGGACAGCCAAAGTTCATAGGAAGTCCCCCAGCACATTGACTAATAAATGGGATCTGTGGGACTGTGTATACCTCTGAGGGTTTGGTGGGATCAGAAGTAGTTCCCATCTGGAAGTAGTTGGGATTTTTGCTTGCTTGTTGTCTTTCTGGGTGTCTGTTTTAATGAAGTACTTTGGTCAGGTTGAATCAAAGGAGTGATAAGAATTTGTTTTCCTTTGTCACTTAGAATAACTAGTCTTAGATTACCTCATCTACAAGAATGCTCAACCTGACAGGATGTGTACATCACAGTTGCAGGGGCCTTCTGAAATGGTGTACAGATTTGAAATATCAGTTGTTTTACCTCAGCAAATGGACCTTACTCTAGACAGTAGAACAGCTATGTACAAAGAAGAAACAGCTATGCACAAATAGGATCCCACCTTCTGAGAGCCGTCCAACTGAAGCTAAAGGAAGCACATGACAGCTGTGTGACAGGGAGTAGCCTATGCCACTTCCAGGGAGGCATAATGTCTATAAAGGTTAGCTGCCAAGCATCCAAAACATTTAGTTTCTGGCCTTCTTCCCTCTGCAGTAGAAAATGAAGTATGGTCCACATGTACTCCCTTTCTTATCATTTACTGAACAATTTCTATGGTTTCCTCGTGGTTCACCTTCCAGTCCAAAGTAACTTTGTCCCATTGTTTATAGTCCATTTCTGTTATCCAATATGTTATTATTTAAAAAGAATTCTCTGGCCCCTGCTCCTTGTTTATGTCCTTTAGTAGAATGCCAGCATCAAGAACAAAACTCCTTACTCTTTTGTCTGCACCAATGAGAAGCCATCTCAAATGTGAAGAGCCTGGAGTGTAGGGAAACGGCAGAAGACAGTTCTTAACATTTTGAATAAAGTCGTCTAATTATCGAAGGAATCCAGAAAGGAATTTACGTCAGCCATAGTTTTTCTTAATGACTTTCAGTATGTTATCAGCAAATTTTCTAATGACCAACTTCAAATGCAAAATCAGTTTTAAATTTTTCAAAATGACTTTTATCCTTTAAGTGTTCTAAGATTGATAATATTTATAATAAAACAACCTATATTTGACTTTTAATTAAAAAGAATCCATTCTTAAATGTGTGGCCTATAATTGATCATTATTTATAAGCATTAAAGATATTTATTAGTATTTATAAACTTTATATTCATATTTTCTTGGATTCGAACCCATGTATCCAATGTGGTTTTCTCCACAGATACTTTTAACCCCACCATGTCTAAGTTTTCCCTCACCATCCTCCCATATCTGTTGTCAATGCCTAGCTGTCCTTTCCTCCTTACCATTTCTTTCTGTCAGCAGCATTGCTATTTGTGTAAGCAGGCTATAGAGTCAAAAGGAATTCTAGGCACTCAATCAAGTTGACTCCTCCTTAGAACCCATTCCTACATCTATCTACATCCTGTCTTTCACTCATCCTTTCTGGAAGGTACACTTTTTATTATCTCTTTTTATTATATCTTTTATTTACTTACTATCTATATTCTTCAGTTGTCTCCAGCCAACCTAAAATACAAAACTAAGGCAGATTATGTGGGTATAACGAGCTTTTTGTTCCACAGTGAGGGCTGCTGGAGATGTGTATGACGGTGTCTGAGAGGTAAAGGTAGACAGGTGATTTTACTGGTAAAACAAAGATCAGTTAAGTTGTTCTGTTATGAAGCGACTGCCCAGAGCCACAGAGATCTACCATCAAGCTTGACTAGGTTGTCACCAGGGAGATATCTTCATGAAAGTTTTTCTTTTTGTTTCTTTTTGTTTTTTTGTTTTGTTTTGTTAGATTGGTTGGTTTTGGTTTTTGTATGGAGTTATGTTGACCTTTGATGAAATGTACTTCACAGTAGATTTCAGCATTTACTCCTCAGCCTTCTGATTTCTGAGATTTTGCCTTTAGTACCCATGGCATTTTCCTCTGTATTTATGTCTGTTTAACCCCCACTGTGTGTTATGTAAGTATATGTGTGAGTGTGCACAAATGTGCACACTACATACACACAAGTGGTATAGTTGGAATCCATGGTCGTCTTCCTTTTACCAGTTCCTGGAGCCCTACAAGTGTCAAAATCCATGGACGTTCAATTCTCGTATGTGAAATGTCATTTATTTCCATATAATCTAGGCATCTTATATCCTCAAGTCATTTCTAGGTTAGCTGTGATAAAAGAATACAATGAATTATATTATTGTGTAGAGAATACTGACAAAAAAGTCTGCAAAAATACTATATTTCATCTTTTACATATTAAAAATTGGAAAGTAGGTAGCTCCACAATACGGAACCAAGCACACAGATGGTCCCACTTTGCACGCATATTACAGAGCAGCTAAGAATGATCCTTATGGTGGTTAATTGAGACTGATTGGTAGTCTGCTTCTTTCAAGAACTTCCTGTTTCTTGGAAATTACTTGTTAATCCTACTTTTGAATCTTTAGAAAATTTACTCAATATTTTGTAGTCTCTCCCATATCGGCAACTGAGCTCAATGCTGTCAACAGCCAAAACAAGCTAGAAAATGAAGACTAAGATGCGAGCCTGATATAAACTGTAGGCATCATATTCTTGTTACAAATGGACATAATTTCTGTTTAGTCAGTTGACCTGTTTAGTGGGTTGGAAAGATCTTTTCTTTCAGTAGAAGTACTACTTATTTCTGCAGCATTTCTATGGGTTAGCACTAACCGCAACCCAGTCCAGCATTTGAGAAGGAGAAACTGTCATGATCCACAGTGTAAGGAACAAAGTGCCCTATAACAGCCAACAATGACACAGAAGAGAGAAGAGCATCTTCAAAATGTATCAGGGATAACATACTCTGAGAACTGAGCTGGGTTCCTGTGGTATATTTCTTAAGTGCCTTTGAGGTCTGGGAGCAGGTGAAATAATAACATTGTAGCATCCCTCAGGCTAAGCTTCAGACAGATTTCTGCCACTGCTTATCAAGATTCCAATAAAAAATAAGATTCCCATGTTTTACAAGCAATGCACAGCCAAAACTAAATTTATTAAAGATTTGTTTGAATGAATTTTGTACAGAAGGATAGTATTTATTGCATCAATAACATAAAGTAACTGCTAAACAACGTTTATAAAGTATGAAGCAATAAGGTAATAATTATGTGAAGTGGTTCTACAGAGGTAAATGTCAGGGTAAATTGAGTTGTAACAAGCATTCATCACATGTATGACAAGGCTAACATTTTAGTAAATTATCATGATGCTTAATCTCCTTAAATCGTACATCATCAAGATTTGCAAGATCATAAACATTTTTCCAGGATTGGACCAAAACATCATGTCACTGGACTACATATATAAATATATTACACCAATCATGTATTCATAAAAATTTATAAAATAAAAGCCTCCTGAGAATCCTGTAGTTTCCACTGATGTTCAGAAGAACTCAATCTGATTCATCGCTGCTGAAGTAAGAGCTGTCACTGCACTCAGCTGTGTACAGGAATTTGTGAATGATCGGATTCATCTTCGGTATCCAGTGTCGGGGAACCAGGTATGTTGAGAGGTTAAATAAATCCACAAACACCTTGTACCTGTCGCTGGAAACATACAGGCAGACATGTTAGATTGTTGATATGAAAACTGTTTTACTTCATATTTCTTCAAAAATATTTCACATAAATAGCGAATATTCAACATTATAACTTAACGTTATATATTGTATATAGGTTGGTATTAACATTATGTAAATTTCAGTCATATCCTAGATTAATGTTTATAGACAGAAATGTGTTTAATTCAGACTAGAATGATATAGATTACTTACTGTGCTCTTGTATTCATGTAGAAGAGGTTGTACCCTTATGTCCTATAAGATTTATTTTTATCAATTTTTTAAAAAATATTTGTATGTCTGTATTCAGGTACATGCATGTGCATGTAGGTACTGGTGAGGCCAGAGGTGTCAGGTGTCAGTACCCCCTGGACCTGAAATTACAGGCGGTTATAAACTGACTTAAATGATTGTTAGGAATCAAACTTGAACTCATCCTTTGGGGCTATGGATATGAAACTAAATTGGGGTATTCTCTAAAGTAAGCCTACAATACTTCCTTTGGCCATGACTTTGTGAGGGTTAAATGAGATAATGATGCCCTAGAAACATTGTCCACATTCATGTTGTACTATGTGCTCATTTTGTGAAGAAACAACTGGCTACTTTTGCATATAGAATTCATTTCCAAGGGAAAGTTAATATATATAACAATGATAAGAATTTCAACTTATGTATTGTATTCATTACCTATTCTGGTAGTATAGTTCAGTGTTAAAATGTTAATATTACACAAAAACAGAACAGAACATGAACTTGAATTTCCCAGAAAATGTGCTACCATGTTTTAAGTCCCTAATATACACTGGCCTTTTCCTTGTAGACATTAAAGGAATCATTATGTGGGCAGTCAAAATTAATTTTTATATAAAATAAGTATATGAAGAAACAAATTATTTTGCTTGTGTAATTTATCTGGCAAAGGTATTAAGTGAATTAATGATGACATTTTTCGTCAGATCAAAACTTGAGCTACAATCATAAATAGACACTTATACTTGCACCCCAACCCCGGATAAGATTTAGTGAATATTTCAGAAAAGATATAGAAAGAATATAAGAACCAGAAGATAAGAAAAGAAAGGCCATGAGATGGTATTTTCTGGGAATGTTTCAGCCACTCAATTAATGAATCCAATGCAACTGTGCTTGCCTGCATCAACCCTGCATGAGAATTGGTCTGTCAACAACCACTAATGAAGAGGGACTCCAGAGGCTTGTCAGCATCTTTCCCCACTGAGCTAATGGTTGCTGATACACTATGAGAACTGAAGAATCACTGAGAGCAACTCAGTAACCACTGGTGAAACCACCAGTCTCCAAGGGAGAATTCCAAACCCAGGGCCAAACAGGTAAGCATCTCAAAACAAAACATGTGAATAAGAACAAGGTACTTGTAGGGAAGAGAGTAGGCTCATATGAAAGAAAGGGAGGGACAGAAGGGACATAAGGGATGAAAATAGTCAGAAAACAAGTATGAAAATGCAAAGAATAAATTTGGTTAAAAAACAAGCAAAACTAACAAAAACTTGAGCTGGAATTAATTGAAGACTTTTCTTCCTGGATGTAAGGACTACTGATTACTCAATAGCAGTGATTTTTCAACCCTCCTAATACTGCAATTCTTTAGTACAGTTCCTCATGCTTTGGTGACCTTCAACTATGATTTTTGTTACTACTTCATATCACTGTTTTTGCTACAGTTATGAATTGGAATGTGAATACATAACTTTTCTTGGATGGTCTTAGGTGATTCCTGGGAAAGGGTCATTGGGTGGTGATCCACAGGTTGGGAATTGCAGCTGTACACCATTACTGACGCGGCCGCAGTTGATACCAGACCACTTTTTGACACAGGGTGAAAATGATGAAGTTCTTTGACTGAGGTTTTTATACTATTACCTTAAGTTTCCACAGGAATATTGGTATTTATCTAGAGTGTGCCATTAACAGTTCAGACAGAAGCAAATGTAACTTTTCTAAAATGATATGCACAGACTTGTAGATGCCGAGATTTGCAGACTTCAACCTTGGTGAGAAGCCCAACTTACCTCACAGTTGAGCGCAGGTAATGATAGCCTGAGGATCCCCCAGTGCCAGCCTTAGTGCCCAGCATCCTGTGCACCATGCACACATGGTTATCTAGGCAAACATACAAATTTACTGGGTGACTATTTTTCTGCCATTAGCTTTACAGTGTTCTAAAACCAAAGGGCTGGTAATGATTATGGCTTCAGCAAAGGCTGACACCTTATCACTTAGCCAGATGGAAAGGTCAAACATGTGCACCAGATGAGATCATCAGGTTGCTTAGCACCCCTGTGGCTTAGGCTATACACATTTTAATTCATTCTTCATTGCTTTGGGCCTGTGAGCCCAGCAACTGAGAGGAAGGGCCACAAAGTGGCTTTCATGAATCCTTCCCACTGTTTCTCTGTAGGATCCTTCTTCCAGGAAAAATAAAAATTAAAAAACAGTAGAAGTTATGCATTGGAAGATCGTCATGTTAACTTATACAAGCCAAGATCCAGGAAGAACGGGGAAACTAGGGAATGAGGGAGTCCTGAGAAGTAACACAGAAAATACTGAATCCTTTTTCTCATTTGGGCCACGATTTAATAACATGTACATGAGCATACAAAGAGGGCCATGTGCAAGGAAGGAGGCATCAGACAGGGAATGAGAGAGAGGTCAGTGGCAGGAGAACATAAGGTACAATGATGGCTGGGTATGTAAGTGTCATAATGAAACCCATTATTTTAAGCACCAGCCAAGAATTAACTAAAGGCTAATGTAATAAGACAAAATAAAACCAAATAATTTTACTTTAAAAGGATTGGAATGAGGATTAAGATAGTATATATTAAAACTGACAAAATTTTCATTTTCTTTTCACTGTAGAATAAACTAAAATTTTTTTTTTGATACATGAAATGTCTTGTGGTAAAGGGACAGGGTTCCCGTGAGAGGGCTTGTTGGAGGAAAACTTACATCTCCATTTGGTCATGAGCGTGTCAATGTCCATAAGTGAGGTCAGCAACTGGAAAGGGACCTGAAATCGAGGCTCCTCCCTACAGGAAACAACAGTAGAAAGGCCTCTCTGATTAAGAAAATCCAGTGCATCAAGACAGGCCAGAGTGTCTGCATGTTGGCCCTGATCAACTTGGTACTTACGAGCTGTACTATCTTAGGATTGCCACTCAGTCACTATTCAGTGCCCAGTATTTGTGTGAAGTCTAGAAAATGGCATGCACCTTATACATAATATATATGAGGTAACCAGCCAGAGTCCTGTCTAATACGCTCTTATTGAAAGAGAGATATGTTACAGTATTTTATATAGAATGCTAACAGCTATCAAGTATTTCTAAGCAGATACTAAACACTGCAAACAAGGATGATTTTTATGTCCTAGTGTGCTGGGATTTCTTTTTCCATTGAAGCCATAAACATTCTTGATACATATTGTACCTAGGGCATCTATTTATTTTGAGAGGAGGAAAAAAATGCTAAAAGATTTTGTTTCTTCTGATTCTGAGGAAACAGATTCTAGATAATTTGCAAAATTAAACCATACATATAAAATATTCTACAAATTGCCCCTTGAAGCTTGTTTGCCAAGGGAATCCTCATTGCCTGAATACGAATTCATGGCCTCTAAGGAGAAGATGGACACTTGGTAGAACCTGAAAACATTTTATACATTAAAAGTGATTTTATATAAAACCACTTACCAAGGAAACAACTGTTTATGGTATATTTTCCTTGACATACTTTTTTTTATTTTAGCTTTCCTTATATTTTCTTTACCCAGAGCGTGTGCGTGCAATGACTGGAGAACCTTTGGACAGGAGATACCTGGAGGGAGTCAGTTCTCTCCTAACTCGTGGCTCTAGGAATCAAACTCAGGCTGTCCAACTTGATTGCAAATGCCCTTCTTACCCACCCACTGATCTAACAGCCTTTTAATTTTCATTTTGTAAAACAGAGAAATCTCTGAAACTATTTTTTAACAAAATAATAATTTCACAATTGGTCTTCTAAGAAAAGATTAGCTTTGATCTTTTGGGGCACTTAATGACTGATACACTATAATTTCTGTAATTAAAATACAATGTGTATTTGTTTGTCTCCACATGTGTATAAACAGCCCACTGCATAAGTAAAGACAGACTTGTTATTTAAAGTAATCATTTTCAGTGGTTTTCCCAAAACCCAAATTACTAAAAAACTAAATTAAATGCAACGAATAGACCATTTCCTTGACATCTCCATATCCACTCTTCAATTTTACTTCCATTTTTTGTTATAGTTTTCTTTTTACCTGTAAAAATATATCATCAGTGCTCCCTGGAGTGCACGGTATGACAGTCGTCGTTCACCTGTAGGATATGCAGGAAATTTTCAACATTAATATTTCTTCTTGGTTCTAGGAATGGAGTCCAAGGCCCTAGCCTGCCTGAGCCAAGGTCTCTTAGCACTGATCTGGAGTTCATAGCATGTCTCAACTTCATAGGTAATTTAAGACAATCATATTTATTTGAATTATCATCCTAGTTAATTATCATCCTGTGTTATCAGAGAAACATTTAGTTTAAATTTTCATTTCTTAGCTTGCACTTAGTGACCTATAGTTTTAAAAGTCAAATTAATATATTATCTATATTTTAGTTATATATATATATATGTGTGTGTGTGTGTGTGTGTGTGTGTGTGTGTGTGTGTGTATGTGTAATTTTATATTCTCAAACATGTTGAGTGCTATATTAGGAAAGCTGGATACAAGGAATAAGTAACTCCCATGATACATGTATTTTCCAGTCACTCTTCAAAACCTAACCAAGATTCACTTCGTTCCCTATTTGAAAGTGATTTGTTATTTGGCTATGTTTGATTCATTTGTTTGTTTTGAATGTAGTGGTGAACTTCCGTAATCCCAATACTCAAAAGCTGAGGCAGGGGGCACATAGTAAGATCCTATCTGAAAACAACCCAAAAATTATTGTTTTGGTTTTGTATTTGTTTGTTTGTTTGTTCCAATTTATATAAAATTAGTTTTCTAGAATGTGGCCTGTAAGCTAAAAAAAAAAAAAAAAATTCTGCCCTTCATGGTGAGAACTAAAGGTTACGCATGCTTCACTGAGAATTTACAGATAATGGAGTCTAGCAACTGATGCTGACCTCATGCCACTGCTACACTCCGTATTGTACAATAAAAAAAATATGTCTGCCTTACATATTCCTAAAAGCATTCTGAAATACTTTACAATCACAGTTTACCTTGGTACCCTTGTGTGTGGCACATAGTATGGAAGTGTTTGCTCGTGTCTTTTAACTACATTGAACAAGCAAGATGGTTAATGTAGGGCTGTCAGACCCAGTATTCACCCACTTCTCACTTCTCTGAGTAGGTAAAGAATTTTACATGATTTTCCCCAAGTTAGTATTGATAGACAGGCTAATGACTTATATTTAGCTTCATGTGTATGCACTTGAAGTCTAAGACCCTCGGATAGCACGTTTACCTTTACTCAGTAGGTAGTCATGACGCTTCTCATCAAACAAGCAGAGCAGCACCTCCTTCTGCTTCCGGAACTCTGCCATCTGGTCCTCTTTTTCTTCAGAGTCTTTTTTAGCCTTATGGGAAAATACTGCTTTAATCTTTCCCAGCAGACATGAGATTGCTGTTTTAAATTGCTTCTTTCAGAAAAAATAGATTCTTAGCTTATAAAAAGTGTGTACCTCAAGTATTAATCTTAACACCCAACACTACAATATGGAAGATATGTCTAACAAGTAGGAATCTTCCATATACTTGATGGTCTTTATTTTCTTCATGTTTAAATAATTTAATAATGCCAAATACTCTTGAGAAAACTCCTTAGAGATGGACCAAAATGAGTATCAAGTGATATGTGCTTATCTTATTTTAAATAATAATCATTTAACATAGAGATAATGTCAGTCTTAGAGAGTGTTACTTCTTAATCAAAACAAATATTAATGCTATTTAAATTCTTTAATATTCGTTGATTGATTAAAGAAAGTCTGCTTTACCTGCCTACCCCCCTGCCCCAGTTCCACTTGCAATTGATTATCTGGTCGGTGGCAGAGCAGCCAGCCCAGTTATCCTCAATTCATCAGAGAAGTATACTGGTGGTGGGAGCCTGTGTACAATATTATTGCCAGTGACTATTCATTTATTAAGTAAATGCTCACAGGGAAGTAACAGACATAAATATTATGAGCAAAAACTGAATCACCTCACCTCAAAATCATTCTTGTATAGGAATAAGATGGAATGCATTTAGTCACACAAGCACAGCATTAAAACCACAAACATCACTATACAAAAATAGAAAAAACATTATAGGGAGTGACAGCAGCCAGAAGGTTGGCAAAGATGCAAGGTTATGCCCGCTGACAAAGATTTTAAACTGAGAGGGTTCAGAACACTGAGCTGGCTCAGCTAGCAGGAGCTGCATCGTGAGGTTGGCCCATGTGATATATGAAAGCTTTAGGGTTTGTGTTGTGGATAGCTATCTTTTTCTTGAAAACACCAATGGAACATGAGAGGTTTTAGGCCAGAGAGAGAGATCATCAGGTTTGCATTTTGGAAAGTCAGCTATGACTCCAGCACAGAGAATAAACTAGAAGGACTACAATGAGAAAGGGATGAAACAGTCAAGAGACTTTTGCTTTAGTCTTGGTGATAGGTATAAAAAAAACATGTGAGAGCTTTTGGAAGATAAAAAGCTCAGAAATATTGTTGAGGGACAGGAGGGATGGCTCAGTGATTGGGAATACTTGTTGCTACCCATAATTCAGTCCCTAACACCCACACATTCACTCACAACTTTCTGTAACTTGAGGTCCAGTGATCCAACACTCTCTCATTTGATCTTTGTGGGCACCATCTGGGGTCCACACATATATGCAGACAAAATAATCATACATATAAAAATAAATAAATCTTTAAATATATATATATATATATATATATATATATATATATATGTGCAGTAGAAACAAGGACCACTCCTAAGACTTACTTGACAGTTGAAGGCTTTTAGGAGGAAAACATACTTAACTCTGAGAAGACTAGGTCAAGGTAAGGACTCATGGGAGGGAATTTTTCTACTTAATTTTTCTTTTCTTATTTTAAGAGGATCAGGAGAATATACCAAGTAGATCATTGGATACATGATCTGAAATCTAAGGGGACATCCATGTTGGAGATAAATATTTGAGAATCACTGGTGAATACGTAAAGTTGAAGCAGAAGTGAAGTCAGCAGTAAAGAGCTGGGGAGAGAAGAGCTAGAGAATTGTTTGTGGCCATGATGCATGTCTCTGGGTGGTTAATAAAACTGAGACAGGTTGTTGGACTCATGTATATGAATGTCACTTTTGAATGAGAAAGTACTAAGGCAGGGGGATGAAAGTTTCATGGTAGAAAAAGCTGTAAGTCGCCCAATGTTTTCAAAATCCTTTAAAGCATGAATATACAATCATAATCCTTTGTAGTAGACATCTTTACATTATATTTTGCCTGAAAAAAATTATGCAAGTAATTTTTATTGCCACAGAACTCTATCATTTAAATGAAAGTTGAACCTATATCACATGATTTGAAGTACATGGTTAAAGAACCCAGTCTCGAGGTGGCAAAGTTGAACAGCTACAGAAGTTGAATCATGAAGACAGGGTACAAGATCTGTATTGTGAAGAAAATTTGGAGACAATTTCATTTAAAAAGTAAAGATCAAATTGATATTGTCTATAGTCAATGGAGAGCACCTAGCAAAAATAACAATGAAGGAAAACATATGTGGTTAAATATATTTGCCTAGTTTCTCTCTTCTGGGCCACTTCGGCCTTGAATTGATCAAAATATACAATTTTCAAATAGGATGAAAATATATCAATACCATGTAAACAATACCTGTTTACAACAGGCAAAATTTTTCTTTATAATGAAGGTCTTATTTTGGCATCATTTTTATACCTATAGAGAAAGTTAAGTCAATCATCTAATATATAGTCCAAGAACATACATTTATAAAAGGAAAATTATAAAGAAAATTATGAAAATAACAGATAATTTTTGGATTAGATTTCTAATTCTCTGTAAGTTTATGGCATGAATTCATACTTACCTGAATCCTTATGAATTCCTCTTCCAGGCCTTTCAAGATATTTTCTTCAAACTTTCCCCAGAAATTAAATCCATGTGGCTCTAAACCAGGTGTTCTTTCCAGCCAAGCCTTAGGTAAATAATTATTTAGGTTAATGCCTGGTAAACTTGAACTTCTAACACCTTCATAATTTTGAGAAACATGACATGTTAGCTTTCTTGTAAACATTTGGCTTTCCCTTCATTCTGTTAATTTAGGAAATAACACCAATAAATTTTTTCTACTATTTTCCTGTTTTACTAAATTACTAACCCTGGGAAGATGTAAGTCCTTTTAGCCACTGAGCCATCTCTGCACCTCCTCCTGTAATCATTCTAAGATTACAGATGACCTTGAAACCTAGAACTCAAACTGACTTTATACACACCTATTGCTTCTTACTTAACATGCATTTAGTGTTGAAATCAGTTTTTTATCAATTTTCTCCATGTTAGTAAGTTCTTTAATAGCATATAGGCAATAGTAACCCAAATTCGCACTTACAACACTCAGGAGATTAAAAAAAAATAATTCATTTGAGAAAAATTTTAATTTCTAAGAGCAAAGCTTAGTGATAAAAATCAAGACAAGCCTTGAATTATGCTATCATAAAAAATCAAATTAACTATCCATAAACACTGTTTATAAAGTCTCAGAAATTTAGAATAAGAAGAGAATTTTCATGATGAGAACATTCTTAGTTATATAATTAGTAAAAATTCTCGTACAATTTTTCAATTATGCAATACTTCAGTGAACCAAAGTTGATTGAATAATCAAGCACAATCAAGGCAAGAAATCAGCTAATTGCAAATTTCTCAGTAGGAATATTTGATAAAATAATTTAATGAGATGATGAAGTTCTTAGATAGTGACACACAATTATATAAATCTTGTTGAATTTATGAGTCAGGTTCTTAATATTTTGAATGTTTCAGTAAGCTCAATTACAAGTTTAGTAGGTTGTTTTCTGTCTTTGTTTATCATGAAAGTAGCACCATTTTGATCAGAGTGTTAGAATTCTGATACAACAGATGCTATGCCACATGTAGGTTGGAGCACTGCTTGAGAGGCTGCTTATGTGCCCTTACCTCCACCAGCTGCAACAGTGTCTGCTCCTGCTCTGATTTCAGCAGCAGCTCATTGTAGTCTTCTCCAAAGTTATCACGATAGTGTTTCCTGTTGTAAGGGACTCTCAGGCTCTGAAGAACACCAATCTTATTTTCTAGCAGCCGGAACTGTAGACTCTGGAAGCCTGATGCTGGAGATAAGTACTCTCTGAGAACGAAAGCAGAAAAGCAAGGAAAGGATGAGGGGGGGGTTATCCTTGCAATGTTTTCTTCTAAAAGTATGGTTTGTCAGAAGATCTATCAGGGGCAGACAGGCACCTGGATTCTACATAAGGAGCTTCTTGTATAAATAAGAAAATTGAGGTACTTAAATATCATTGTCACTGTGGACCAATTTGAAGTTGGTTAGAACTTTCGATAGTTATGAAATGCCATATATTTTAACATATATAATATTTACTTTAGTATATAGTAATGTATAGAAATAACACATAAAAAACATTGATTAAATATACACATAATTAACAGTATGCACTTGTGTAACATTTTTCCTTCCTAAGAAAAACACAGGTGAATATTAGGAACTTGTGTTTCTCCACAGTGGTAAATGATTGTATACAAATATTATTTAATCCCACCTACTGATTCTTATCATGGTTATTACCATCCATCCTCCTACTTAGATTGGTATCAATGAGGAAAAAAAACAACTATGAACAATGAAATGCTGCCTGGTCCAGTCAAAGATGACCAAAGATGTTGCTAAAGCATCAAAACTCTTGTATCTTCTAAATCCCCTAAGTGATGCTGAGACTTTAATTTCTTAGCCACCACCACAAATAATTCAACTCGATTTTTTAAACTTTGAAACTTATTTGAAATTTTGCCTATTACACAATATGATGGACTCCTTTTAAATTTCTTGAGAAATTCTCTGATCTAATTTTAGAAAAAAAATGCTTGAATGTGTGCTTTTTAAACATATAAGTCTGTATTCAGACACAGATATAAACACAGACATATACAGATGGTTTTGTGTGTTTGGGAGGTTAGAGCTAAAACTGACAGCATATAATGAACACTGATACTTTAGTTGTCATATTTATTTATATGCTAGTTCTATTTCTCATATTCTTATATCATAAGCTTACTTAAGCCATTTCACATCAATAACCTTTGTTGTGATAAACAGGACACATGATGATAAACTGAAATTAGTTGATCATCTGGTTTTGAATCTAGAAACAAGTCATGGAATGTTTTTAAACACTTCTTAAGTACTTGTGATTAATGATCCCATTGTCCTTCAAGCGCTAATGGAACGATCTTCTTCTTTCATCCCACGCATTTTCTTCTTTTACAGAACCAGAATGAGATCGTGAGCCCCATTGCACTCTAAACTGGGAAGCACACACCTGAAGTCATTGAAGTCCAAGGCAGTCATTGTTTCCAGAACCGAGAACTGCTGTACTAGGAGCTTGAAGATGACCACCACGCGGTGCATCCGAGCCATCACCTTGAGCATGTTCCTCTCATCCCTGACCTGATGTTGAGATGTTGAGGGATGAAACACTGAGAGGTCAATTGGATTTAGAGAAGGTGCAGAATAGATTGGGAGTGGCAATGTATTGCTATCAGTCTTGTGTAAACATTAACAGAGACATTTGGAACAGAATTTTGCCATAAATATTTTAAGATAAAAACAATTTCGATTTGCATGCAAGAGATTAATACAAACTGGATTTAAAAATAATAAAAGTAGAAAATTACATAGAGATAAGCTAGGAGGTGTAGGGTGGTTCTGATGCTAAGGTCCAGTTCCCCAATTGGTTCTTGATCTATCAGTAAAAAAGCCATGGGCCAATTGGTGAACGGAAGGTATAGGCGGGACTTACTTCTGAGTCCTGGAAGCAAGCAAATAGATGCAAGGAAAGTAGAAAAGAGTTTATCATGCTTCTGATGGAGAAAAGTTGACCAGCCATGTGAGATCTCATATGGAGTGGCCACACAGGCCTCTCCTACAGGCGAGCGATCAGGAGTGTTTAGCAGGGACTAGATGTAACTGAACAACTAAAGTTTTGGGCAGGTGGAGAGTTGCTGAGCTAAGAGTAATGATAAGGGCACACTTTTTCAGGAGGGACATAGTAGCACCCAGTAATTGTGTCAAAAGGCAAGTTGAAATTGAATTGTATGTGTCTGTGTCTTTTATCCATGGATTCAAGGGAAGCTGGATGGGGGCTAGTAGCTCAGCCCATTCCTGGAGCTTAGGCGGGTTAGCAAAAGCTACAGGCAACAATAAATTATCCAGGATAACAGCTTTCACTGATTTCAAAACATATTTCTGTTTTAGTTTTGTTTCAGAGAAGAAAACTGAAGGAAACGCTTCAAGGAAAGGATTAGATACATGGATAAATTTCAGTGAAGCCTAGGTTGTCGCTGACAAGTCCAAGTCTTGTATTCACATGAGTGGGAGAGAGTAGAAAAGAGAGAGAGAGAGAAAGAAAGAGGGGGGTATGGAGAGAAAGACAGAGAGAGAAAGAGACAGAGAGAGACAGAGATAGAGAATATGAACCATAGCTCATGAAGCAGAGACTCAGAGATGGGAGTTAGAGTAGTGTTTTGAGCCTAGGGAAGGAAGGAGGTGGGAGCAGGTATCTCAGTGGCAGCTGTACTAGCCCTTGGTGTCCTGTCTTCTCTCATCTTTGTTCTTCCTCCTCTTTCCCCCTCTTTCCTTCTTCTTCCAACTCTTCCTCTTTCATTTCCCTCATCTAGTCTATCTTGCCTTCCCTCCACCTACCTTGCCATAGGTGATACTAAGTAGAAGTAGAGTTCTGTTACCAGTTACAGGATCATCATTGTGCTTGCAATCTATCCTGATTATAGCAGCTTAAAGAGACCAGGGAGTCTTTCAAAGGAATTTGAAGGTGTGAAATATACTAAAACTTCTCAGAAAAAAAATCTCTAAAGCTCTTTTGAGTAGTTTTGGTATTTAGTTAAATATAAGTTAATATCCTAGTCTCATACTTTCTAAATGCTTTTAGAAGTTATACAAAAATCAGTTTAATGACATTGAAACTTACATGGCCATTTTGAAAGATCTCACGAACAGAATCTAGTTCCCAGAGGATTTGTTTAAACCAAAGTTCATAAGCTGTAAAATTTAAAAAGTCAGTTAAAAAGTACCCCTTTGACTATAATTATAGGACAGGTACATACAGCAAATTTTAAAAATTAACTTTAAAAATAATAAATGTGAGCGTGGACTCATTTATGTTAGAAATGAACATTTAATTTTAATCTCTAATTTTTGAATTTCTAATATACTGGATATTTTACTTTAACTGGTATATAAATAATCACTACAGTGGTCACTCCTCAAAAAATGTATTTCTTTCAGTCTTTTAGTATAGCCCATTCTCACTTCTTGCATGGATGTGTACTCCTCAGTACCCCTCCACAGAGATTAACGGTTTCCACGCTAGATGAAATCTGTAAGGTCTTATATTTTAGTGTTTTGTTGTTGCTTGCTTGCTTGCTTGCTTGCTTGCTTGCTTGCCTGGGATTTGTTGAGTTTGGCTGTTCTTAATTTGAACAATTCTAGGGGCCTGTGATCTCAAAACAGAAGTGAAAGCAGACCTAAAGTCAAACAGTAACAGTGAAGCCTCGTGCTAGTCACATCGAAGGCAGAGTCCCCTGTCTTCTAAGTGAGTCAGCTGCTCTGAGAATTCTTGTTTCAGCTCAAGGCCACTTTGAGCCTGAATTCTGTCAGAGCATTTCTTCTCAAGAACATAAGTGGGACTTGTCCCTGAGCATTTGCTTTTCCCTTCCGTGGGGCCATCAAACAGCATAACTGATACTGGAAAGTGCTACAGTCTAGCAAAGCAGAAAATGCATGGCAAGGGCCAAAATGCCTGGTTATTAAAAATGTCATTTTAGATAAAGAACTGAATTTTCTTTAATGTCCACCAGTTAAGCCTTCTGTACAGTCACCAAACAGTTATCTTTCTTTAAGTGGAAATTTGTGTTTCATACTCTTAAGATTTATAGCAAGAACACGACAGACATGGGAAGACAGTTTAATTCACTGTGTTTCCAGACTGGTCATGGCAAGTGAAATGATTCTCTCCCATTAGTTTATCCCCACAAAAGAAGGATTTTCATCTTTGTCTGTTTTCCTCCAGTAACCAGCACGATGCTTGGCATTGGCTGTTTAATTAATAGATTAGGAAATAAAGTCACCAGTGTATTTATCAGTGTAACAATCTGCTATCCCTGGTGTACTCCATGTGGTTCCATTCAATGGATAAATGCTATATTTGTGATAATTAGGAAAGTAAGCTTAACTATAAATTTTCAGCTATACTTAAGATTTTGAGAGATATAATTTTTATATTTAGGTAATGAAAAAATCAAATGCTTGTTGATCATTTTTCATGTGGCTTTCCAGGTCTTACTCCCTGTGGGTAGCTCTATGAGCCATTCACAGCAAACTGTAACCAAAGTGCAGAAGACTATTAAATCGTGATTAATATTTTCAAGAAACATGAAAAATATTACCAAATATAAAAACTATATGTTTTTCCTTAATATTCTATTTTTATAAAATTATATAAATTTGTAAACAAAAAAAAATTAAAAAATATTTCTGGAAAGCAGGGTTTTCAGTGCTCCATAAAAAAAAAAAAGTATCTTAGCTTGTAAGTTCTTTGTGAAATTTTGAGAGCTGAAAGGTCTGTCTTGAATTAAGGACAGAGCTAGGAGATTAGTACAATCTACTGTGCAGTGAAGGGAACACAAAGATGCAAGCAAAAGCCCAGAGAGGCTCCGAGGAGATATTGTATGACACAAAATATTCCCATGTAAAGACAATTCCTCAGTCTTTTACAAATAAAGATACATTTGCACTATTGGCGACGAATAATTGCAAGACCCACTAGTTGTTTCTTACCCTTACATCTTACCTTGATGAGTTATAATAAAAAGGTGTTCATCGTGGATTTTATTCCCTTTTATTTCACTTTGAAGTTCTTGTGCATTCAAAATCTTTTCCAACTTTAAATAAGAAAGCAAGAAGATTGATTTTAAGATTTCAGGTCTTGGGTTGTGGAAACAGACATTAACAAGAAGCAGATTACAATTTTGGAAAAAGTACCCCATGTCCAAAACTCTCAAACTGTGATCTGTCTATTTTATTTAGATAGTAAATGAGTATCATTAAAAAGAGTAGGTTAAATTTGCAATTTTAAGAATAATTTTAGTTGCCATTCTTCTCCAAAATATTCAATGTGACAGCACTGTCCTCTCAAATGCCACTGTTCTCAGGCTGGTGTGGTGGTAAGCTAACCACTGGTTTGGCCAGCTTCAAGGTGGCAACACTTTCCTCTCCTTTCCCTAAAAAGCTTCTGGCATGTCTTACATTCTTTATCAATTCATCCTTACAAAACTATCAAAAGGGTATGAGAACTTTAACTATTTTCCACCTTATTTTTTTAATCTGAAAGCTAACCATAATCACCTCCAAATTCCTGATGGAACGCTTTTATTTACTAATGATTTTTGAGAAAGTTCTGTGTACCTTTAACATTTCTACTTTATAACGTGGAATTTGCTGACTTCCTATGGTGATTTGTGGCTCTGACCACATTTGTAAAAATCCTGAGCAGAGCCTTTCTGCTATCTGCACAGTGCTTTATCTTTTACAATCTTCTGTCCAGATGCAGAACTTTCTGTTCTTGCCAAACCTCTTTTAGGAAGGTACATTTCATCCCTTAACTTGCTATAGCAAATTTGAAAAGGTACAGATATCTACTAATAGAAGGGTCCTAAGGTTCAGAAAACTGTTGATGATTGAAAAAATACAGGCAAGTGAAAGACCATGGAGGCAATTTAGTGGCTGACAACAGCAGCTAACACCAGTGAGGGCTCGCCACCACCTACCTGCAAGTAATTTCCATAGATAAGTCCCCCTTTGCTGGCTCTGTTTACACCAGTTTGAGCTCTGTCTTCTTCATTGTCTTCCATTGATAATTTTTTCAAAGAATATCTGCAGTTTGAGCAAATGACATAAAAAAAAACAAACAAACAGAAAACAAAAACACAGTGACCATAAAATAAGAAAGTACGAATCTGTTACTAATTCTATCCGGCTTATAACTAAGTGAAGAGAATAAGAAGAAGCAAGAAGTTAACTTTTAAGTCGAGAAATTTAGCTGTTTATAGGCTAAGGCTGGAGAGTTCCCTTCCATTTGAACAGAGATAAACACTCACCCAACACTGTTTCCTGAAAGCGGGCACCCACTCATTGTACTGACTTGTCTCAGGACCACACAGGTTTGCTAGGTCAGAAACAGTATCAACCTTCCAAGATACTTCAGTGCTTGCCTTTTATGTATCCTGATTACCAGACACAGCCAATCAGCACCCAGCTTACACTCTTAGCCAGAATCTCATTTGTGCTGGTTCAGAACTGAACCTCTGTAACTTGAGGGTGGATTTGTGTTGGGCATAGCTTGTTTGCTAGCAGGGTGAGCCATATCGAACCCTCTAACTTGCCAAGTTGAGCTTTTATATCCAACATAGAAGACATCAAATAAATCAATAAAGGCCAAGTCCATAGACATTTACATTTAACTACTTGATTCCAATAAAGCTTTTACTATTAGCATAGGAATCCTTAAAGAGAATGACATTATAGACAAAAGTTTAACCTCTCCCAGTAGGGTCGTCTTCCAACTTCTGAGAAACAAGAATTGAAATGTCAGTCCTACTCAGGAGGGGGAGGAGAATAATCTCTAGGAAGTAGAGGGAGAGAGGGATCTGGGAAGAAGAAAGGAGGGGGAGGGAAAAGGAGGGCAGTTCAGCTATAGGAGGAGATGAGGGAGAAGTACAGAGAGTAAGGAATTTGAAAGTAGGTGTGTAGCAGTGGGGGAGGGCGAACTGGGGATAGTCACTAAAATGTCCCAGATGCCAGAACCCAAGAGGTTCCCAGGACCAACAGGGGGGACATTAACCAAAATACCCAACCAAGGGGAAATAGAACCTGTAGAGACCATAGCAAGTGGATAGGCACAGCCACCAGTTGAGGGATGGGGCCACCCACCTCAAAAATATTGATCCAGGATTCCTCCTGTCAAAAAAAAAAAATGCAGGGACAAAGAGTAGGGCAGAAACTGAAGGAAAGGCCATCCAGAGACTGCCCCACCTAGGAATCCATCCCATCTGCTGACACCAAACCCACACACTATTGCTGCTGCCAAGAAGTGCTTACTGAGCGGAGCCCGGTATAGCTGTCCTCTGAGAGGCTCTGCCAGAGCTGGACCAATACAGATGGAGATGTACACAGCCAAACATTGGACTGAGTGCAGGGACCCCAATGAAGAAGTTAGGGCAAGAACTGTAGAAGCTGAAGGGGTTTGCGACCTCATTGGAAGAACAACAATATCAACCAGCCACTCCCCGCAAACTCCCAGGGACTAAACCACCAACCAAAGAGTGCTCAGCTGCATATGTAGCAGAGGATTGCCTTATCTGACATCATTGGAAAGGGAGCCCCTTGGTCTTGTGGAGGCTTGATTTCCCAGGATAGGGGAATGCTAGGATGCTGAGGCAAGTGGGGGAGCACCCTCAAAGAGGCAGGGTGTGGGTGGAGGGGATGGGGGTTTGTGGAGGGGAAACCAGGAAGGGGAATAACATTTAAAATGTAAATAAATAAAATAACCAATAAAAAAATTTTAAAAAACGAATTGAAATGTTCTTGGAAAATGAAATTCACTAGAACAAGCTGTTACTGCTGAGAGCCACACCCGGTCCTTATTATAACTCATCTAGCTTAGCTCTTTTCTCATAATCAACAGTAGCACACTGTACCAACCTTAAGCATTTATACTCAGCTGAGGCGTGCCAGTGACAAGGCGTGACACATCCACACCAGTGCCTGGTGCAAAAAAGAACAATTACCACTTGTCTACAGTTCTAAAAGATAACAGCAGTACAACAGCCTTTCTATAAAAGGCCCTGGTCTCACCCATAATGGCTTTGAGTTCTGTTGAGCCAAGACAGAAGCTCTATCACCCTGTCCATAGACAATTTGCACTGCTATTAGGAACTTGACATAGAAAGCATTGCCCACTTACCCTACTCCAAAAGAGATACATCAGCTTCACGTTTCTCAGAGTAATCAGAAGCCAGAACCGGTTTCTAGGCCTAGCTCTAACTATAATTGGGATTTAAATTTTATAGTAACTTCAAGAAACAAAGCTTTTAAATTTTGTAATTTGGTAGAATCCAATGCACATTTAATTTTTTACTTTATTACTGTTTAATAAATTTAAATATTGAATTGATAAATAGTATGAGATAATGAAATGCTATGTTACTGGAGAACTTGGAAATCACCAGACTCCTTGAGTGTACCAGGCTTACAAGCTTTGTGTTTACTAATCATTACTTATTTATGAGACAGCGAACTGCATAGAGAAGGGCTATGTTCACTGCCCCGTTTCCTGATGTCCTGGCCCAGAGGGCCTGGGTCAGAGGACACTTGATTGTCCCCATTTATTAACTTGTGTTTTCATCTAGGTAGAAATTTACACAACAGAGCGAAATAACTTATTTCACTTTCTTTCAGGTTTTTGTGCTGCAAAGTGTTTTTACTTATGGATCGTCGTACTGATACAAAGGGGCAGAAAGGGGCTTTTACTCTATAAATTAGAGAAAGTAGATATTTTAAGAACAAAATAATTTCCATTTTTGTAACATTGCATTCTGCATGGATCTCCTAAGAAGTATCAATTTAGTAGTTTCTTTTCCCAATTCTAGACAAACCATCCAAAGATTTAAAGCTGATGTGTCAGAGAAAGGGGAAATTATATGGAAAGTAATTTGCTTTCTCCACACAGGGTGGATGACTGCTGCTGCAGAGCCTAACTACGTTCATTCTTGATAGCATTTGCCATAACAACCAAATAAAATTTCAAAGTAGTTATAGTCTCGCCAATAACTCAATTGTTTTTCTACATAGAAAAATTTATAATCTGAAGTTTATTTCAGTCTGGGAAATTATTTCTCCTTTGTTATTTTTATTTCTTGATTTCTCTTTGTTTGTTTCAATACGGGGGAAGGAATGCAGTGCTTGGTGCATGTTAGGCAAATTCTCTGTTCCTGAGCAGCATGCCCAGTCCTTTTCAGTATCGTATTTCAGAATTTTACAATTATCCTTATATGGTACCCAGTAAATCTTATAGTCTCTGTGTCTTTTTCCATATTTCTCCATCCTTCCTTTCTACCCTCTACCCTGTTTACTTTTCAGTACTAGGGACGGAACCAAGGGGCCCATGCATGCTACACAAGTTCTCTGCCCTAAGCTATACCTCCACTCTTATATTGAGAATTATCCACAGCTCTTGAGAAAATACACTCTAATTCAAAGTAGCAGGTCTAATTTAGGCAATATGACAGATCCAAAGAATACATGGGCACAGGCAACGTCCTCTCATAATAGTCTGAACTCATATTTCAAATGCATGTAACTATATACACAAGGATATCTGAGGAACTGTCCTGGAGGGAAAACTGATCAAGGTGCACACTTGGAAGATTCAAATTATAACTAATTACCAGACTAAACTGGTTCCCAGAAACCATCTACTGGAAATCTTTGAGGCAAAACATTCTTCCATCCTGGTTTGGAGCAACAGAATCTCAAGAATGTGAAACTGGAATAATGTTATTTTTTGTTGAAAATAGATGTTTTTTTTTTCACACATCTTCATTATGGCATCCCCTAGTTCCTTTCCTCCTCCCCTCCCATGTGGATCCACTCCCTTCTGCCTCACATTAGAAAGCAAAACAATACAAAAGGTTTCTAAGAGATAATAATAAAATGTAGTATAATAATAGAAAATGTAATAAAACAAAAACTAACACTGTGGGGTTACACAAGACAAACAGAAGGAAAAGAGTTCAAGGGAAAAAAAAGGTATGAAAACAGAAGCCCACTTGTTCCCACACTCAGGAATCCCATAAAAACATCCAACTGGAATCCATAATATATACACAGAGGACCTGGTCCAGACCTAGCAGGCCCTGTGGCTACTATCTCTATCAGCTTGTAGGAGTTTTTATCTGAAACATAAAGAATCTGTAAGGCAAATTGTTTATCGCTAGATTTTTTTTTAGATTTCTTGCAAACAGACATAATCCTGTGATAGTAGAATCAGGAAAAGTATATGCAGGGAATTCTGTTGGACTACATTGAGACACTAAATACTACTAAATGTTACTTTCCCAGACATGATGGTATTCCTTTAGCAAACACCCCACCTGCTCTAATGTACATGCTTCATTGACTTCCACTGACTGCGTCCACCTTCCAAGCCAATTGTTCACTTTTTAAAATGTAACAATTACATACTGTGGCAGACATGAGAGAACTGAGCGAGTAGAAATGCTGCCAAGAATCCTTGCTCTAATGTTCTTAACTTTGAGAAGCTAATTCTGAAAGAACTTAAAATTTCTATTAAAATATTCCATAGAAATCTTTGGCTGCCCAAATCTTTGTTATGGTCTTAATGATTGATTGATTCATTGATTGGTTGATTTATTTTATCAACCTGACTAGCTGACTGCCTGAGGAAGGGTCTGATTATGTAATCTAAGATGTCTTTGAATGGAGAAACTAATGCACCACCCTCCAGAGCACTGGGATTACAGAGATGTCTGCCATCCATATCTAACTGCTTATTCCTTTTGTTATATTATAAGTTTTTCATGCACATATGTATGTGCACTACACATATCCAAGTGCCCAATAGAAATAGATGAGGGTAGCAGATTCCATGGAATGGACTCTTCTGAACAGCCATGTTGGTGCTGGGAACTTAACCCAGGCCTCTTTTTTGAAGACTAGCAAGCCATCTCTCCAGCACCCCTCACCCAAGTACTTATTCTGATTTCCCCTATTTGCTTAGTGACTGCACCTCCACACCCTTTCACTATGTTTACCTAAAAACATCATCCAAAAAGCTCCCCAGGTCTACTGAGGCTGTGCTTTGGAAGAAGGCAAATTCCTGTATACTTATACCACAAAGTCTAATACATTTAGAGACTAAATAATTGCTTTCTATTAAGTTTTAATCATATCCAGACAAAGAAGCGTCAGCCATTCAATGCAGTTGACAGGTTAAATCACTGTATTAAAGGAGCTTTCTGTTGGTGGTGTTCGGTTTCTTTTCATTGACTGGAGTCTAGAAAGAATAAATATCCTTTAACTAGGTTGTAACTTAATCAGACAAGTTGGAGCTTTCCAACATCTCTCCTGTGAGCCAAAGAATAGACTTGCTTAGTGGTAATTGTGTCAGACTGGAGAAAACACAGGAAAGAAGCTATCAAGTAATAACTATAGGACTTTTCTTTTATTATTTTTTGAAGGAGAAAACAAAGCATGCTGGGAAGGTGAGTACAGTTGTGTGTTCTCTACCAGTCCTGTAAATAAGAAAACAAAGGCCTAGAACAGCATGTCAGCCACCAAGGAACCAGGGCCCCGGGACTCTTTCTCAGAGAACATGGTGTTTGTTCAGAAATATTTAGAAATACACTATTATTGTATTTCTCTGTTTGTTAAAATGTGTATTATAAGGACAGTTACATTGAGATTTGAAATACATGTTCCCTTATTTTGACACAAACTTATTATGAAACCTGTTCTTTTTGTTATTGATATAATTTGTAGTAAAATTCTAATGAACATTTTGGCAATAAGGTTTCCTAAGATTAAGATGATACATTGGCCATTAAGTTTTTATTTTCAATAATGGATGGCCTGAAGATTTTTGTTCATTGGTAGACTGCTTGCCTAGACTATATGAGGTCCTGGACTTCATGAATGAATGAGTGAAGAGAATAATTACTCAAACAATAGAACTTGTCAAAATTAATTCTTTAGTATACAGTTCAGTGGAATTTTAAAAATAATGTACTATATATAATTGAGAAAATATTAAAATTAACAAATATAAATTGTATAAAAACTTTCATAAAGGTTTTATTTCATTCTCAATGTAAAACTTTTGGAAAACTCTAAGAAGCACAATGATCACCACTATATTACAAACAACAGAACGATGGACACCTTTGTGGCAGTTACTGCAATACACAGTTTGAAACACTGGGTTCCAAGCCCAGTTGTTCATTGGGCCTTACTGAATGCCAGTAATATCAAAGTTTTTTTTTCTGCTTTTGCTATTTAAGTATGATGAAACCTTAAACACTAGACATACGATAAGAAGTTGTGAGTCAGGTAAACTTGCGAAATGCTCCAGTGGAAAGTGCAAACTTCAGAAAGAGGAAGCTGCTCAGATGCTGCCTTTAAGAACTGTGAGGCACCCACGTAGAACAGAAGACTTCACACACTTACGATTGTGATTTTTAGGTCTAAGGAGGGTGAGCACAGAGATGCTAGGCTGTCTCCATGTCGATGGGCCTCCTCCCCTGACCCCTGACTTCTTTACTCACAGACTCTGCTTTTAAAACATGGCCTCGACCATTTTCCAGAGGGTGCTAAGATACTTCCAAGAAGTGATTTCTTCCTCCTCAGTAATTTCACCTACTTGTTTCCTATTCAAATTCTTACCCCTGATCAAATTTGCTTATTATCATCTAGTTCTGTACCAGACTTATTCAGGAGGCTGTATTTCTAGTAGACAGGCACTGTATGTCACTTCTTTTTATACCTTCGGAACTCGGCATAGAATGGGAATGTAAGGACACAGCTTGCATTTGTCAACAAAACTGAACTGTCCTTTTGCCCTTTGCTCATTGCAATCGCAGACGAATGCAGGGGAACCACAGGAAAAATGTTACCAATATGCAGAGCCTGGAAGAAAGAGCCATGGGGAGCTAAGGCGTCAGTGAGCGAGCTCAAAGCTTCAAAGCTTTATTTCCACTGATCTTTGTCCACGGGGATACCAGTAAGTCTACAGCCCAGTTCTTCCTGCCTGGTTGGTTGATGCTGTTGTTTTCATTACTGTTTCTTTCTTGATTGTCACTTCGACCTAAATACGCAAGAGGACAATACAGAAAGAGGAAGACTTCATTTTAACACAGTTGTAGCAGTTGCAATCCATAGTCCGTTGCTGCACTGAATCTGGGCCCAAGCAGAACGCCATGGTAACAGGAGTATGCATGCATATGTGTGTGTGCACACTTGTATGTGTGTGTGCATGTGTGTGTGTGGTGGAAGATACTGTTCATATTCTGATAGACAGAGAGCAGAGCAAGGTCAGAAGGAGGAACCAGAAATAGGTAAAATTTCCAAAGTTGTGACCCACTTCTTCCAGTGAGCCCATTGCCCCTGGTTTCCAGCCCTTCCTAAAATAGCACTGTGAGCTGAGTAATAAAGATTTACCATACGAACCTGTGGAAAACATTTCATATCCAAATCATAACTTTTTTAAAATTCTTATGATTAATTTATCACTGTCTTATGTTTGTAAAGTTACCTGTATAAATGATTACAAAACACTTACTGAAGTGTAAAAAACAAAGCAAAACTGAATGTGAAATGCATTTCCTGTGCCAGGCACTCTGCAGGGTTCATTTTATTTCTCACTAAATTAACTAGTTTATTAATTATCTAACAGCCATGCTTTGTGTTTGATTTGGAAGTGGGTTGTCTCTCTAGAGTTTCCTGAAAGTTCTAGACCCAGGAAACCCTCCCTGACTCAGTCTCCTGAGCTTAGCAATAGGGAATTATATCTCCTCAACCACCTTGCTCCTGTAGTCTGCTCTCTGAGAACCGGTTTTTCCTGGACTGCATTAGCTGTTTATTGAAGGAGCCTGTATACAAACCAAGGATTTGCTCATGTGACATCTGTGTTTTTTCTCTTATGCAGATTGCTACATAATTTCAATGATTAGACTCTGTTACATCTTTGCCACTTCTCTTCTTTTAAAAGGCCGTGGGAAAATGAAACAGGGCTAAGACAGGGAGGTCAAAAAAGCAAAGGCGATTGGAAGAGGTGCATGTACGAAGGAAGACACCAGCTGAAAGGTAAGGACTCACGGGGCACAGAACAGTGCGAATGTGAGACCAGATTGAGGGTGCTCATTTCCAAAAATAAACTTCATATGACAAAACTGAGTATCCAGGATATTCAAATTCACAACCCTCCTTAATATTCTGTTGGAGCCAGAAGATCTGCAGACTCAGCTAGCTTCAGCGCCTGTGGTTCTAAGCTTTGCTCATACACAACCACAGGTCACATAACAATGCAACTGGCTGAGTCACCTTGTGTAATCTTATTTATAAGAGTGTTTTTTTTACAAGGTCACACTGATGACCTCCACTTTCTCCTTGGAACAAGAGGTCACATGAGCACTTTTTCCTGTGTTTCTTTCTCCTTTATCTCGGTTACAGATATCCTGGATGATGACAGAAGTGTGAACTGAAGTCCATGCCTTGTTCTTACTAATGGATAAAGCTGGAGCTCTCATGCCCAGCATCTTCAGAGCTAGAAGGTTGCAGTAAGAGTCCTAATTAGTTCCAATCTGCTACTATTGAACTATGTTAATGCTAATAGTTACAAAACAGCTAAAATTCTGATACGAAATAATGTAAATCCTTACTGCTCAGTTGGAATGAATAAATAACTTTTTAAATTTCATTTTTAATCCATTTACACTGATTTTAGAAAAATATAAAATACAGAAGAAGAATAGAGGTGGAGCATGTACATATTTTCAGTATTTATTTTACTTCAGGTATTAAAGTATATTATTATTATTAAAGTGAATCTGCTTTAAAGTAATTCTGATTACATAAATTTTCTATTCTGCTGCCCCTAAAATAAAATAAAATACCACAATCTCTGAGATACTTAATGAGATAAACAATGGTTAATGTTGACTGTCAAGTTGGCAGAAGTTAGAGCATCACCTAGGAGACTGGCCTCTGGACATCTCTGTGGGGTATTATCTTGATAGGCTTAACTGAGGTGAAAAGACTTGCCCAGTGTGGGTGCCACCTTCTCCCAATGCAGCAGACCCTGGACAGAATAAAGGTGGAGAACAAGAGCATGAACTAAGAGCAGCAAGCAGGTCCTCACTGCTCTGCTCTGACTGAAACCACAATGTGATGATCTGCTGTTTTGAGCTCCTGCTGGCTTGCCTTCCCCTCCATGATGGACTAGAATAAACTCATTTCCCCTTAAATTGCTCTTTTTTTTCAGAGTATTTTAATAACAGCAAGGGATTAAAACAAAGCAAAACAACAACAAAAAGTGGTTAGTTAACTCTACTTGCCAAATATCTTAGTCCAACACTGGCTCTATCATCACCTGTGAGAGAAGCGATGCAACAACCCCTCCTGTACTTTCCTCTCCAGCCTGCATGTGAGGGGTCCTCTAGGAAACCCTATGAATTTAAGGAGGTTTTTTAGACTCAGTGAATCTAATTAAATCCATTATTATTATTATTATTATTACTACTACTATTATTATATTTTGTTTTCCAACACAAGAGTTTGGCTATGCATCCCTGGCAGTCTTGGAACTCATTCTGTAGACCTTGAACTCACAGAGATCCACCTGCCTCTGCCTCCAGACTGCTGGGATTAAAGGAGTGCACTACTACCACCTGGCTGCTTAGGACTCTTAGGAAGCTGATTTGTGATTTATAGAGATTGAGCTGCATACAAATTTCCAAACCAAATGTACACAAACTTTCAATGAAATGCTATCTAAAATTATTTTAAAACAATCATTTTGTTAAATTTGGAAAGGGTATTATTTCATTTGATGGTTGTTATTTCTGAGAGCCTGTGCTCTGAGATGTAGCATTTCTACAATGGTTTATTGTTTTATATATAACTTGATATTTTTGTACATTTGTTAGAAATATTAAATGACCTGTTTGTTTTCCTAACATCTTTTGACCTGATACAACATCTCATCTAAAAGTTGGTTTTCAGAAGGACTTTTCTTTCTAAAAGACATTGTTATGTGCATGGTATTTTTCTCTTCCGCTGTGAGTTTTAAAACTTCTTCACTTATTTAGTTAGTTTTACAGGCATGAGTAGGTCAAAGGGCATTTGCAGAAATTAGTTCTCACCTACCATGTTGGTCGCAGGAATAAAATTCAGATAGTTATTCTCTATGACAAGTGTATTTACCCACTGATCCATCTCCATGACCATTTGTGTGTACTTTTAACAAGTAGTCAATAATTAATACAAAGAACAGCCAAACAGGGTAAATAGTAGCAATTCTGAGTGTTTGGTGAAAACAGTGCAAACACAAGATTTCACCCTGAGACAGGAAAAAAAACTGTGGACACAGTATCAAAGCAAACATCTGCAGGATGAAATTCACGAGTAGACACCCGTGAGATGTCAAGAGATCTACTTCACTGGGGAACAGATGCCACTGGAAAAGTACAACATGATAGTGGAAGTAATTTAGTCAAGCCTTAATATTTAAGGAAGTGTTTAAGCTGCCCTTGGAATTTTGAACCACACCGTAGCATCTTAGAAAACTGAGTTTTTTTCCTTAGAACAGTGAAAGAGACAGCACCCAGTGAACTCAAGTCCCTTCTTCTTCTAACACCAGGGACTCTAGTGAAAGTTTTTAACATACTTGTCCCCTTGCTTCTTGAGAAAAATTACAACACTAAAACAATTCAGTAGTTATCATTGTATACTTGTACTTTTAACTATTTTGTTGATGTTACTGTAATAGAGTATTGTTATGTGTACGTGAAGAGAAAATTTCCCAAGAGATCTGAATAGTTAAATGGAGTTTTCATTAACTGCTGGTGGGACTGGCCAAAACAGATTAGTGGGAAGCAAGCATCCTCCAGTTAGTTTGAGGTTTTAAGGGCAAAAGATACAATGTGTTGTATACAGAAAGGCAGCTCTGGATACCTACAGAGAGCAAGCATTGTTTACAGAAGTGGAGACATAGCAGTTAAATGGTCAAGTAGCTAACCTTTATCTCAGGGTCACAATTTATAAAAATTCAGGGCTGCTCCAGAGACCAGTTTTACAAAAGCTAGTTTAGTATGTTTAAGAATGTTTAGAATACTTTCATGAGATGACAAAACTATAGTTCAGTAGCCCTCTACAGTACTATGACCAAAGGTAACTTAAGGAAGAAAGTTCAATTTGGCTTACAGTTCTAGGGATCTAGATGCACATAATGGTGGGGAAGAGATGAAAGCAGGAGCAGGAAGCTGAGCGATCACATCTCATACACAGGCAGAAAGAGAGGATAGGGTGGATGGCATACCCACTGGAAGTGGGAG